TAACTACCAAACTTGCTTCATCCTAAACAGAATGACTATGCCTTGTCTTCCAGGAAACATATATTGATAACAAAACCACTTAAAAGTAGAGCAATGTCGAAAGAGACAGCTGTCTTAATAATATACAATTCTATTGTGGTTCAATGATACAACTAATCATCTATGGGAGGCATACAACTTTGTTAGTGTACTGTACTTTGTCACAAAAAAAAAAATACTAAATTTTGAGCATTCATGTCAAAAGAATAAAACTGAGGATTCACACTCCTTATGATGTAATTTTTTCCACAAAGGACCTTTACAGGGTTCCTCCAAAATCTCTGTTAAATGTGGAACACAATCAGCCGACACACCCCTTCTTGCTGTCACTTCTTTTACCTTACAAATTACTAATTCCCCTCGTACTAGGCTCACTTCCCCACTTACTGAATCAAGGGTTGCAAAACCAATCTTGGACAGACTGAATCCAGGTAATTTCAGAGTTATAAAAGAACTCATTCAGCTAGGAGAAGTTAATCGGCTGAGGACCATAGGTCATGTAACAGGGATTTTGCCGAATTATTGACCGGGAAGACCACAATAGGAAACACATTGGAAAGGGGCTTGCATGCTTAAGATTTGATACAAGAGCTCGTTTATAAGAATTTGCAACACATGGCTAAAACCCATTTGTAAGGATAGAGTATACTAGAGGTACTTACTGCATAAAGGCAAATAAAAAGAATAAGTTAAAGTTCAGTGTAAAAACCAGATATTTCCTTCAAAGTCTCAATCATTCTAACAAGACTAATGGAAATAACTACCATTAAGGAAGTTGCAGCATCAAGAATTAAAAACTTCACCACCCTACCATAAATCACATAGCTAATATAACCACCAGTAGTTGGCTTCTTTAGTTTCATCAAATCATGTGACAAATCACATTATACTACATACTGATTGATTAAAGTTACTTAACTAAATCACAGATGCCCATAGGTCGACCTCCCTGCTTCTCCTTTTAAGAGCCGCGAACTTGTACCAATTGAAATTAGCACCAGCCTCATGATGGTTTTGTTTTCTAGACAACAGCCACTTTTACGGACTCCTAATGTAATCAACCAGGTTTTGTCCTTAGCCTAACTGCAGGATATATTTTTTTATCTATTCTACAAGAGTGATTCATCTGTGGAGCCAGAATAGTTGATTGGGTTGATATGTGTTGATCTTGCAACTGATATAGCTGCTGGTGGATAGGATTTTATGACATTAATGGATGGGGAGGTATAGTTGGAGAAGAGAGCAGAGAGTATATTTGGTCTTAGACTTCATTTACTTTAATTGGATTCTCAAACCCCTTCTAAAGAGGATTCTCAAGTGAAGTACTGCTTGCTGTTGATATTGCTGCTGGCAGCAGGTATTCTAATGCATGAACTCGGGACTAGGAGGTGTACAGTCGGGGAAGAGACAGAGAGTTTAATTGAGTGTTTGACTTGTTTTCTTCGAATGGATTCTCAAAACCCTTCTTGCGGGATTCTCAAGCAAAGTCCTGCTCTTGGATTAGCAGAGCAACCCTTCAAAGCCCTACTTTCCCATTATTTTCCAGAACTTCGAGCAGCTATCTAACAACATAGAAAGGACTCAATTGCAGTATATGCTTCCGCATATTTAAGTCCGATGAAATACAATAAGCAGTTTTAGTTTAATAAGTAAATGTTTTCCATTTCCTGCAACTTGGAAGAGGAACAGGTTTAATCTCTAACTGAATTTAACTCTCTTGTAAGATTATATAAAAGCATGCAAGTAGGTTGACTTGGTTCTGTGGAAGACAAGAGCTGCAATGTTATTCTATGAAAAACTGCTAATTTCCTGAATATGCAAATTCCATGACACTGTTTCTGTGTATAGTTATTTATTGATAGTCTATGTAAACCCTTACATTGATGTGCCCTTTCCACTCTAGCCGCTTCAGAAATTCCTTATTGTTTCCCGGAAATAGCATTTCTTCTACAAGCCCCAACCAAATGTTCATACGTCCTTCCATTCTACTCCTAAGGAAAGCAACCAGATTTGGCACCACATAGCTTTCAAGAATTCCAACTCCCTATCCCTCCCAGTTATGACCGACAAAGAGCTTGTTGAAAAAGAAAACACCCTCCCAACCTAGCTTCCAAGGATTCCAACTCCATAACCCTAGTACATTTAATGCACCGAACCCAAATTCCAAGTACCTCATGAATAAGAGGAAAATAAGACGATCAGAAAGAACACAAATATTGAATCACTTTAGTAACTACTATTAATGTCAGGTAGAGAGGGAAAAGCGAAAGTTTTGCAATCAGGAAGCTTCAGGATAGTGTTAACTTCCATGTGACAAGAACACTAACCTGAAGCAGATTTTAGGAGCCGGTGCTGGAAACTTCTCTGTTGTTGAGCGTGAACTAGATTCTCCAGTTTGGATATTAGATGTTCTTCGGATAAGGTCAGCCACACCCTTGACTATGTTCATGCTTCCCAAGATTGTTTTAAAAGAAGTTGAACAATTTCTGGTGCATCATAAGGAGCAGATGGTGATCCCTTGCCATCAGTTCCCCGCGAGCTCAATGATCCATTTCCATTGACAAGCTACCCACGGTAAGCTCGGCAAATAAATGCTCAATCATCCAGGAGTTTGAACACTGTGAATTGGAAAGAAAAATCGCTTCAGTCCAGGATAGTTGGAGAAAATCATATGGCAACAACTTTTCCTGTTCGCCTGTTCTCCAGAAGAATAAGAAAACGAAAGCAAGTATCCAGTTAACGGAGCAGCTTCCCACTTGTACGCAACTACTATACGAGTTCAGAAACATAAATTTCAGACAGAACCTCCACCACAAGATTTCAAGGAGGGGCAGCCATTAAAACTGCCGGCCGATCATCTGGAAACCCAATGCGAACTCGTTGAGAATCCAGAATTTCAAAGGCAGAACGAAGACAAGTTACTTGTTGGATTAAAGAAGAGAGAAATCGAATGATTATTGATGAAGGAATATGACCTGATCAGATCACCGCGGGAGTCAAAAATTCCGCCGGAGTTAGGGTTTTCGATTGGGGGATCCAAGCACTAAATGCCCTGCGTTAATGGCGTTGAGTGAAGAAGAGGCAAAACAAAAAGTGATCCGTTAAATTCACGGAAGAGGGAAGAGAGGAGGAAAAAAGGTGAACAATCAACAATGCTGCTTTATAATATTAAGGCCCCTGATAATGAACTTAATTACATGATTACCCTCACATAGGAAACTATTTAATTGACCAAGAAAAGGTTAGGATGCTTTAGGAATTTTACATATGAGTGTCATTTCTCAAAAAGTTAAATTAAATTTTTTATTAAATAAGAAAATATTTTATTAGTAAAAATTACTACAAAATTTTATGGTATGTTTTGTATTATGAAAAAATTAGTAAAATTGGGTGGCTATACTGCTCAACAAATCTCTCTCGATATATTCTACTAGATAAGGATAACTCATAATTAGGTTAATCGTTAGGTTTTGAGAATAATTGAGAATAGGAATAGTCTTTTTACTATTATATTTGGATCTAAAACACAACAATAAATGAGTTGTAGTTTAATTGAAAATATGTTTACTAATAGTAGCAATGTCCCAAGTTTTAAATCCAAGAGAATATCATTACCACTTAAATATTATTTGTAACCATACGCAATCAACTACAACAGGTTGGATAATCCCTTTTCCAAATTTTAAGGGTGGTAGAATATTTTTTATAGCCATATGCAAACTACCATCGATGATTGGATAATTATTTTTCCAAATTTTAGGGTTGTCCTAAACCTCTATGGATCCTCTACTGAAGGTGCTAACACTTTTTTTGTTAACATGGTGATAACACTAGTTTCAACTAATGGAAACATGGGAAAGCTCACTAGAGGCAAGCCGGTCATTAATTAAAAACTAAAAAGAAAGGAAAATTCACGATTTGTTAACTTGGAGAATGGGTGCATTAATTGGGAAGTGGGTGGGTAGGAGACCATCAAACACATGCCACAACACACTAGAAACAATACAACAAAAAACCACAAACCCTAGAAAGGATTCCACAACTTCACCATACCACAAAAATAATAAACTAAACCACAAAGTTAGGAAGCAAACTATAAGTCTCATGCAGCACACCACAAGTAAGCATATCACAATTTATAAAATCACACCACAAATTATTAAAGCATACCTCAAGTCCAATAAAACATACCACAAGTTTCTTAAAGTACACAATAATATTGGACCTAATTTTTAAAAGTTCATGTATCAAAATGTACGAAAGAAATTAGGTACTAAAATGTAATTTTTTCATCAATATTTTCAAGACTTATTTGTAAAAAAAAACTAATTTTAAACACTAAATATAAAGGTCTATTAAATTTAGGTACTAAACTGTTATTTGTATGTGAACTTCCATGAAAAGTGAAAACAACTTAGAATATGAGAGAGGAAGGGTAAGGATAAGTATATCACAAGTTGCTAAAAGCATACCACAAGCTTATCAAAGCATATCACAAGTGGGAATGAGGGAAGAGGAAAATGAAGCATATCACAAGTTTATCAAAGCATACCACAAGTTCATTAAAACATACTACAAGTTTATCAAAACATACCAAAAGTGAGAAGGAGGAAAGAGAGTATACCACAAGTCTCATAAAATAGACTGCAAGTTTATTAAGCACACCACAATTTCTTGAAGTAGACCACAAGTTTATAAAATAATACCACAAATTTCAGAAAACATACCACAAAATTCATAAATCATACACAAATTTGATGAAGTACACCACAAATTTATAACACAGACCATAAGTCTAATAAAACATACCACAAGTTCGATAAAACAAACCACAAATCACATAAATCATCCAATAAATATTACAAAAACAAATCACAAGTTACAACAAATCTTAATAAATATTAAAGCAGTTTTAGAATCTACCGTATATATAATAGCAGAAAACCAAAACTGCTAACCCTTTTTAAAATTTCCAGCCTCCAAAGCGATATGGAGAAGTGCACACTGCATACAACTTTTACAATGTCAGTGTAATGCATAAATTTACTTCATCCAAACAAGAACAACGGCGTGTCGTAGTAATTCCGATTTTCTTTGTCTAATTTATTTGCAGAAAATGTTTTGTGGAGAAACGTAAATGGTCTTTTATATGTAATTTTTCAACAATTAAATTATCTAGTGTGAGTATAGTGGGATTTGAGAATATGGCTTAGCTTGAGTCTCCAGTTGGTCGATAGTTCAATTACATTTTTCTGACCCATTTTTTGGGTTGGTTTGATAATATGAGCTATATAGACTTGACAAATTACAACTCGACCTGTTGACCCGATCCGAAACCGCTCGAAAATTATATATTTTTGTAACTCGAAATTCGAATGACCCGAACCCGATAAGCGATAACCCATGGTTTTTTGGGTCGGGTGGGTGGGTTAGTGGGTCGACCCGTTAGACCCGTTTTATTTTATATATCACTCTCAAAATGATAAAATCACTCATAAATTGGTGAGATGTTTAAAAAAAATCACAAGGATTTGAATGACATGTTTTGGAATTTAAGGATCATCAATTATCATGTGTTTCTTGTAGTAGTATTACTCTTGTGATTTTTTTTTTTTTGACGATTTACGCAATTTGTATTTCATTTCATTAGTGTGAGAGGATTTGAATATATGTTAATTGACATGTAAGAAAATATGTGAACATGCATATGTGAACATTTGTGTTCTGTAAGAAAATATGAATAATGTTTGATATTGTTTCTGAGAACGCTCATAACCCGAAATAACTTGTAACCCGACCCGAAACCGAATGGGTTGGGTCAATATTTGACCCGAAATCAGCCAACCAAACATGACCTGACCCGTAACCGAAATCCCCAACCCGAAATTACCCAACCCGACCCGATTGCCAGGTATAAAGCTATAGGTAGGATCAGCATGGATGCATGTACGGTATTCTCCTCCCTAGTCATCATCCATTCCTGCTTTTGACACTTGACTAGCTCGTTTATCTTGGACTGCCGTGATGTTACCGGAGTCATTGGTTAGAATGTGCTCGATCGGGTTTGGTTCAAACCTGTATCGAACTGCTAAAAAGATAAAAACCTCCAAGCTGCAAATCGGAGGTTATGTGGTGAGTCACATCGGAGGAGGGTGTCCTGAAAAACAAATTATGCAATTTCAGTGTTGTTTATGCCGCGAAACTGCAGCAGACCGAAGAGCAATGTGGTGCATTCTGCAGCCAGGATTGTCGGTTCAGCACCACGAACGCCACCAGATCCCCACTACGGTTTGGTGTTTGTTAAACTGTACTAGTTGCCGCACCACTCGCATCCAATTGCGGATGGTTTCTCTCTGTTGCCACCAGTTCTTTCCTCGAGATCGAACGATCTTAGTGCACCAAGGTGACATTGGGGATCAACTAGAATCACCTTTACATTCTTGATGCCTTTTTGAATCCGCGTATTTTCATAACTCTCAATCATGGTCCATGAAACCGTACCGAGAAAGTCAGCGTTAGAGTATTTTATTGTAAAACCGTGGTTTAATCGTAGTTCAACCGTTATACTGGTAAATACCGCATATCGATTTAGGCTACAATACTGGTATTTCGTGGTTGAACCGCCGGTCCGGTACGGTTTAATGGACACTGCTCTCAATGGGTTGGTCGGGGGCCATTAATGAGATTCTAGATTTACTACCAAGAGTCGGTCATATTTCAGCAAATTCCTTGCTTTCTATGCTGTAATAATTCCTCTTGACATTTCTGACTATGGTTGACTGACTCTCCTCTCCAGTCCACCACGCTCCTAAGCGACATTTTCCTGACCTGTTTTTTGGGGTTAAGTGGACAACAAATAGGAACTAGGATACAACTTGATCATCCACAGTACTGGTCAATTCGCGCGTTGAAGCGTCGACTTGCTGTTTGATTGTGTTGTTGTTATATAGGAGCAACAAAAATTGTCTCTGTTCTTCTTCTCCTAGTACCAGAAGCTGCATAAAGCGAAAAAAATGAAGACTGGAGCATACTATATCCACGCTTTGCTTCTCCTTCTCACTTGTGCGCTTCTGATCTGCTCGCGCATCCACGGCCTACAACACCACCACAACTTGCGACTGCCGAAGGAGCAGCGAATTATATGGACACCAAAATATCATGCTTTCTGTTGTTTATATGCACTGCAGGGCATGTTTTTTTTTTTTTTTTTCTTTCTATGTCATTCAAGGCAAATCTGTATCTGCAGAAGTAGAAAGGATTTGGTCAATTAGCTCATGCATCAGCGATGGCTTCATCAAACTGACAGTCAAGTTTCTTCATTACTCGGTGGCGAGGTTGTTACAGTTCAAGTACCTGCCGCCCATGCCTCTGCAGCATTCAGCGTCGACTTCGTCATCTATCCTGTTCTGGTTGGGATTTGCTCCTGCGATGGTAGGAACTGGAGACCCAAGCATGCAACTGTCATCAGGCGGCAGCAACGGCGCTGCGAAAGATTAATTGTAGGATGCATGTAATTTGGGTAGCGCTCCCTCTGTTCATTTTCGTTTCAGTTTTACCATATCAGGGAATTAGATTGTTAATCAAGAAACTGCACTTGCGGATTGTATTTGTTCCTGGAATCTTAGTATTTATGAAATATGCATTGCATTTTCACATTTTTGTCTGAGCGGGATAATATATGTACTTGTAATCCAACTTTTTCATCAATTAGTTGGTCAAGTTAATCCGCGGTTTGGTATCGATCCACCTGTAAATAATACTTATCGTAGTTCGTAGTGGGTGGGTGATTGATGTGGGTGGACAGCGGATTGATAAATCTCCTACCTGCACTTGTTTGAGTGGGTGGTGGGTGGATTGTGGGTCTCCGATCACGAATAATGGGCCTAAGTTCTGGTCCTTAAGGCCAATTTTTTAAGGAAGAACTTAAAGCCTTGTGATTGGCTAATTCAAGATAAAGTGGTTAGTAGGAGTTATTAGTTAAAAAGTTGTTAGGGGTATTAAGGAGAATACAATTAAATTAAAAATTGTCTATTATTTTCAAAAACACCCTAAGGGACGGTTTATTTTTGGTTTTCGTCTTCGTCGGGTCTTTTATTGTTGCCGCCGCGGGTCCGGTCGAGTTTCCCGTCGTCCCTGCGTCTCCGTCAACGGCGAGTCCGTCGCATAGTCCCTGAAGCATGAGCCCGTCGAGTTCTCCGTCAAACACGAGTCTGTCGTCCCTAAAGCACGAGCTCGTCGACTTCTCCGTCAAACACGAGTCCGTCGTCCCTGAAGCAATCATCTTGAAGACGCTCGTCCGGTCGAGTTATCCATCATCGGTCGTCGCTGTTCGAGTTCGCCCTCTATCTCCGTCGTCGCTGTTCGAGTTGTCCATCAACAAGGCACTTCATTATTAATCTTCCTTCTCCGATTATTAACTTGTACACTTTAACTTTTAACAATTAATGATAAATTAATAATCATTCCTCTCGGATTAATTATTAACAACCATCAACATCTTTACTAATCTTCCCTTCTTGGATTATTAACCTAAATCAACAATGAAATTTTTCATGCAAACTTTACTATTAACCATGTCTTTTTTAATTAATAATTTAAAACAACGAACATTTCTACTTTCAAAGTGGATTATTAAGTTAAACACTTCGATTATTAATAAATTGGTATTATCAGTTAACAAGTATTATTAATAAATTGGTATTATCGGTTAATACTCGTTTATGAAGATATTGATAATATGTTTAAAAATAGTAATGACCTGATTACATGCAACGTTGATTATTAATTAAAACACCACAAATATTAACAGTTAACGAAGGGATTATTATTAATCCCACACCAAGTAATTAACTTAAATTGTTAACAATACTATTCTGTTTTATTAATAATTTGGTATTATCGGTTAATACTCGTTTATGAAGATATTGATAATATGTTTAAAAATAGTAATGACCTTATTACATGCAAAGTTGATTATTAATTAAAACACCACAAATATTAACAGTTAACGAAGGCATTATTATTAATCCCACACCAAGTTATTAACATAAATTGTTAACAACTCTGGTCTGTTTTATTAATAAATTGGTATTATCGGTTAATACTCATTTATGAAAATATTGATAATATGTTTAAAAATAGTAATGACCTGATTTCATGCAAAGTTGATTATTAATTAAAACACCACAAATATTAACAGTTAACGAAGGCATTATTATTAATCCCACACCAAGTTATTAACATAAATTGTTAACAACTCTGGTCTGTTTTATTAATAACTTACCAAAAATAACGTCTCTTGGCCTTGGCGATCCCATGGAAAACGAGACTAGAAGGACACACGACGACCCCGACGACGTCGGAAAGCAGACGAGAAGGGGACGACGATGTCACCGGCCTTCTTTGCGACGACGGCGACAGACGACAGAAGGTGACAGCCGAGACGTCACTGGCCTTCTTTGAGACGACGACGACAGACGACGACAGAGGAAAAACGAGGGAACGGGACGACGACGCCGGAACGCAAGCGCCGCACAGCAAACGAGAAAACGAAGACGAATGAGTTTAGGGTTGGGAGGAGTTTCTTTTTTCTCTCGTTCCTTAATTAATGATGGCATTTAATTACTTTTTATATTCCTAACTTACCCTTTAACGTTTTAGGTAGGTAGTTAACCAATCATTACTAATCACTCTCTCTCTCCTTCTCCTATTGGCTGAAAGGGGTTTAAGATTTTCCTTAAAAAATGGCCTTAAGGACCTGATCCAACCCGCGAATAATGGGATCTCTTTGACTGCTTCACTGTACCGGTGGATTAGTTGACTCCCCGTGGTCGAAAGATAGGAACGAAAGACTTGTGACAACAGACGGAAGAACCTATATCTGTTCTCTATCCTGAAGCCAGATCCGGACATTGACTGATTGATAGCAACCGCTTTTTAGAATCTTATGAATCGCGCACGACACACTTTAAGTATATAAAACCAAATAAATAATATAAAACCAAATAAAACTTCATCGTTCAGGTCTAAATACTAAATTTTATAATACTCTTCTTCCACAAAATCCCCTTGTAGAAACTTGCTATCTTCCTTCTAATGAGTTCCTTGATAATCAATTTAGATTTTAAACCTCAACTAGATTATGTATATGATTTGAAGAAAGATCAGAAGTGTTCTAGAACCAAACAAAATTAAACTTTTAGGACTATGGTCATCAACAAAAGCACCTTAGCATTGTCGCTATCAGCCCCTTCTACAAATTCTGAAAGGACATTTGCAATGAGCTACGTAAAAAACACTCTTCACTTTGATGAACAAATAAAATCATAAATAAACATTTCATAGATAGGTTGTTTGCACAGCTTTCTATCGCATCTTTCGTCTGTACTCTTTTGTAGAGTGATCGCATGAATTTTAATGGTGAAACTGAGAATTTGGGCGGAGATTCGGGCGTTCCATGCCGGTACAACGGCCAGCCAGTCGGCGGTGAGGAAATTGCTCTCTGTATTGAACGTCCATGATTTAATTTGGTGGGCGGCATTCTGTTGGCAGAGAGTTGATTGTTTCGCCTTTACCTGGATTGGCAGCTAGGGACGGCAACAAAATCCGAACCCACGGGTACTCACCCGATCCAATCCGGTCAATGTGGGTAAAATTCGTGTTGATGGATTTTGAGCGGATTCGGGTTTAAACCCGCTACACTATTCACCGGGTTGGGTTGGGTTTGGGTTTAGGTAAACCCGCTCACACATATAATTACTTTCCCGGAATATTTAATATTCTAAATAATATATCTTCTTTAAACAACTAATATTATTTATGTTTGTGGAGACATGTGTAATTTGTTCTTTCTAATTGTTTAGAATGAAGTTGATATTATTGAGTGGAGAGTGAAGAAACTTATTTGACGAGGAACAAGATTTCAATTAATCTTGTTGTTTATAGATGTTTATCTTTAATTTTGAACAATTTGTATTGATCATTTGCGGTTTGCTTGTATGTTCTAGATTGGTGTTTTTTGTATGAATCATTTGTATGTAGAAAATTGATGTTAAATTTTTATTTTGAAATAAATTTGTTATTGTAAATTTTTTACCACAAAAACCCACGGGTCCCCATGAACCCGCGGATACCCAGCAGGTTGGGTTGGATTTGATTTTTTCAAACCCAACGGGTTTTACCCCAAATTTTTTTGACGGATAAATCCATAGGTTTGAATTTGGATTTCACAAAACCCTCCAACCCGACCCGTTGCCATCCCTATCCCTATGGCAGCAGAGAGCAGCGTACATATATTGCTGAATTATTAGTAATTATATGAACATGGCGCTGGGAAATAATGGTGGAAAGCTGATAGGCCATTATTGTTATTTGGGTTGACCACTTTAGGCATGATTTTAAATGTGCATGTTGTAAGTGGGAGTGTGGGTTGTCGAGGTTCTGTTGGCGGGTTAATGGACATGGCTTTGTATTCAATGAGATGGCTAACTAGAAGAACTATTCGTTCTTTTTTATATATAAGGGGTACTATTCGTTTTTTCTTTTTTCTTTTCAAAAAATAGTTTGCATTAGCAAGAAATAATGAGATCACAACGTTTACAACTTCGAACGAACCCAAGTGCAAAAATCAAAACCATCAACAAGAGCAGGAAACAAAGAAATGACATTTATTTGAGCCACAATATGAGCAGAGCCGTCCCATGATATTTGGAGGCCTTGTTCGAAAATTTAACATGTGGCCCCTAATTTTTTTCTCAATAAATTTATTAAAAATAAAATTTGTTAAATAAGTATAAAGTACATAAGTTCAGAAAATGATTTCAAAATGAATAAACAATCTCACTTCCTGTTTGACCAATAAACCAAGACCAAATTCTCACTCCTAGTATGGAGGGAGAAAAGTAAATCTGGAGGGAACAGAAAATGGATATAGAACAAAAATTGAATGGAGAAATGAAAATAATATAAATTGATCGAGAGGTGGGTGCGGGTCTATCTAATGAATCGTGTAGGCCCCATTCTAAAATTGAGACATTATCCAAATTGACTTTTAACTAAAATTATTATAATATCATTATTCAAAATGTAATATCTTTCTTTATTGTTTAAATTAAAATTATCTATTATCTCTCCGATTTTCGTATTCTCCATGAGATCCTTTTCAATTGTTATAATAGCTAAAATTATCTATTAAATTCGTCGTCATATTCATAATCTATCAATCACACACTAAAAAAACAATCTGCAATATTCGATCGATAACTAACGAATCTCAGTGGAGGTCCCAAATATTCAGAGGCGTTGTGTCGGAGGGCGGGCCGGCACACCCTCTTGGCCGGCCCTGAATATGAGCTACCCTATTGTTCTCACTATCGACAAATTGGACTACACCATCTGCCTGACCCGAAAGCAGATCCTGAACCTCCCTGAGCACACCCCCCACCCCTACTATCTTGTGCACTCGCAAAAAGAGCCTTCTGAACGACCACCTTAGCATCCCCTAATAGCACACACCTTGAAGCTTCAACTCACAACACCGAAGAATTGCTTCGATGAAGGAAAATAGTATAATAACACTTAAAGTCAGCCGTACCTTCCCACCGATTCTTTCATCAACGACCAGTCGGATGATGTTGTCCCAGAGTTCGATCGACGGGAGGTGGAAGTCAGCTATCTCGGGATAGGTTGGTGGGAGTTTCTCTTCCTCGTCCTTGCTTCCAGGGTATGTGGGAATCAATCCCCATGTGTTTGGCCCTTGGTGGCTGTGGCGACATTGGTTGGGTGGCCGAACGACATTGGCGGTTTCGGCTGCAACGACGAAGGATCCAAATGGGGTGGATGTGTGGCTAGGGTTTGGAAAAGCAACTCCAACAAAAAGCGTGGTTTAATTTGGCCCTCTCCCTAGAACCCTCCATATTAATTACTCTTGAAAATGGACTCTCATAAAGTCGTATATGTATCATGTTCGTGTTTTTTTCAGGTAAACAAAAGGGCCGGTGTCGCCCTGCTAGAGGTCCCTGCCGGCCGCAATCAATTGGCGAACTCATGGAATGAATGAACGAACCAAGTACGTACTTACGCGTTGTTTAATAGTAGCTAGCTGCTATTATAGCTCACAACTCCCCCACCACCTTCTATCCCTTTCTGTACGTACGAATGCAATGAATAACACACAAGTACATGCTATAACTTAATCGCATTCCCCTTCTTGTCCATCCATATATGCTCCATCTTAGGGGCAACATATCTGTGGGTCCCACGAACTTTAAGGGTTCAAATCCGTGGATCCCATGGACTTGAAAGTTCCACCTATTTAGGTGGAAATTGATAATGGATTTTGAAGTCCATCATTTAAGACCAAACTACCCCTCCTATTTCATTTCTCTTCTTCTCATACCAATGAGGGCGATAAAGGTAAATTTCACTTCATACATACAAATCTAATTAGCCAATTCCTTCATGAAATCTATGAAACAAACAATGATATTTTTCAAGTCCATGATGGACCCAAAACCCTTATATATTCATGGTTTTACAAAACCCAAGTTTTACCAAAACCTTCATTTTTCAAATCCACTAAGCAAACGACCGCTTAAAGGCTGAGTTTTCGTATAATGGAAAGCAAGTTTACAAATAATAGTAGTGTCCTAAATTCAAATCAACTAGTCTACCACTTATATTAAAAAAATATTTATCCATACGCAACTACTACCGAAATTGGATAATCGTTTTTTTCAACAACAAAAAAAAAATTTGGGTGCCAACCCCCTGGCTCTCTCGCGCCCCTGGTCATTGGATGTATTTTGATAAACATCGGTCAATCAGAATCGTCAATTATAGTTCTTGATCGATAGCTAGCTAGCTACCGGCTCGACGAGACCAACACGTTGAAATGAGGATATGAGTTTTTTCGTATCCATGTAAAGTAATTAAATAAAATTTGAGGATCGTATCAAACTATCAATGATATATTCATACTTGATTTGGTGCGATCCAATTATCAATTTGGTTCGATTCTTCTATAGTATTAAAAAAAACTCTAATAATCAGCCAGATTTGGTTCATTTGATCAAATACGATATTGATACGGACCAACTCATTACACAACAACAATTTGGTTTGACTCTTCCATATGCTAGAGAACATTTAATGTTAGGTTACCTTCCAACTTCCCCTCTCCCTACCCTTCCCTTCCCTCCTATACACAATCAACCAAAAGCTGCCCTTTTCGTCCCTTTACTCCATACTTCATAATTACTTTTCCCACGTTCTTGGCTTCCAACAAGAACATCTATTATATATATGAGAAGAATAGTATGTAATAAATAGTAACAGCAACAAGATCCCAATCTTGGTCATTCCCATTAACAAGAAGACGAAGAAGAAGAAAACTGAACAATATGGTCACCGCCACCGCCAGGCCAGCTGTAACCGGCGTCAGGATGTCGTCGGTGGTGCCAGCGTCGGTGACCGGAGAGAACAAGGACCGACGTCTCACCGGCTTGGACCTGGCCATGAAGCTCCACTACATCAAGGCGGTCTACTTCTTCGACGAGAAGGCGGCGGAGGGGCTGACGATTTACGACATGAAGAAGCCCATGTTCCCTTGGCTCCAGCTCTACTACCCTGCCGCCGGCAGAATACGCCGGGGGACGAAGAGCGGCGGCGGCGACGAGGGAAGAGGAGAGGAGGGGAGACCTTTCATCAAGTGCAACGACGGCGGGGTCAGGATCGTCGAGGCGTACTGCCCCGATTGTACGGTCGAGGACTGGCTGCGGCTGCCGACGGCGGAGGAAGATCGTGACGGTGGTTTTAGGGATGATGATTGGTTGGCGTTTGATCAAGTCCTGGGCCCTGATTTGGGCTTTTCTCCGCTCGTTTATGTTCAGGTAAATCAGTTCCTAAACTTTTATAATCTTTTGTATTCCCTTTTTTTTTTTTATGGGAGAGCTGACTCTTGAATCACGACGATCACAGTAATTAGAATTCAAATTTTTGTTGAGAAAAATTATATTAATCGCGTTCAAAATGATATTAACCCTTCCATTTATATCATGGTGGTAATGTTTGCTTGTACGTAAGATCATATTATGGTAGTATGAAATAAAATGATTATATACATGATAGTATGAATATATTAGTCAATGTCTAATATCAGTTATCACCATGTACTGGGTGGCATGAAATGGGATATTTGGTCCCGAAAATTTTGCAAACAAATTTATAGATAACGATGTACATAATTCTTCTATGCAGTTTTTTTAATTTTTTTGTGTTAAAACGAAAGTAATACAAGTGGTATCATGTATACTAGTGTGGTAATGGATAATACAAAAAAATATTCTTGGAATATATTAAAAATATTTTTTTAAATATTATGAAAAATAAATTAAACATGTATTAAGCCAAAAAAAATACAAAGCAGATTAAAAAACTAAGAAAGAAAATTTTTAACATCAGCACTTAATTTTAACTACTCAAAATTAAGAGTTCAGAATAATACATAAGATACATAATCCTTCAAAAAGTAGAAAGAAGAATGCTGGGAGTCAAACAAAAACTAGACTTTCAATGTATTTAGTTGACATAATTGACCGCTCCAACTATATTTTCTAGTAAAGACACGTTGTCGCACTAAATTGTGAGACGTCAACCAATTGGATAAGCACCAATGATTTAATATTGTTTATTAGTTTTGAAGGAGCCATTTATCACGGCCAAGTGTGATAGTGATAAATATGATAGGGGTAATAATGATTCCGCCCATTTCAATGTTGGTATCAATAATCAGGTATCCAAATAAAAAAAAGATAATCTACATATGAATATAGAGGCGATAATGAATGTATTAGTTCATTGGATTCATGAATTCAAGTAGCATCTAAATATCGGATCAATATGAAAAAATTTAAAAATTTTAGGTAATAAAATATCATAATAAAAAATTGAAATACCAAAATATAATTTTCCAATGTTGTTTTTCATTAAAAAAATGTAGGTATCGAATTAGAAAGTATAAAAACTATGGATACTAAATTATAATATGTAAACAGTTCGTGAGTTCAGTCCATGGATACACCAATCCAATTGAATTTGGATTGGATTAGTATGAATTTTTTTGGAGGGAGTAAATTGATTTGGTGCATTGTATTAAATTGCCGCATCTGCATGCAGCACAACATAAGATATAGCTCAGCCTCGAGTCTCGACGGCTATACTTTATTGTAATTTTGTGATGTTTACGCAACAGTCTATCTAAAATTTTATATATACGAGGAATTTTACAATACTATATAGTATGGGTGCTATAGGTTTTTATTTTTATGGTACAACTTCAGATTGTACCTATACTTTTTGTACAAATTCTTTTATGGTACAACTTAAACTTGTACCTTATGTGATGGTACAACTTCAAGTTGTAAAGTTGTATCATAACATAATGATACAGATTCCTTTATGGTACAACCTAAACTTATACATTTAATGTTATGGTACAAGTTGTACATCGAATTTTGAATTTTAATGGGTAGCATGATATAATACGACTCAAACAAACCATCGTGAGATGGGATCCTCACTCAAACAAGGACCCATGAAAAGACAGACAAATCCATGATATAATATTAATATGTGACTGACTGATGAATTCTTGAATGAGAGCCCTAGCTCTCTGTCAATCTGTGCAGTTGCAAATCATTTATGACCCCGATCGAACCCAAAACCCAGTAGAGAGAACATCTCTGTTACTGTCATCGATCTGCCTTGCCTGTCTTGTATCTTATGGTCCAAAGACTAGACTCGTGTAGGCCAGTAAAACTACTACGTACAACAGATCATATCATAGTTGTACCTGCAGATTGTGAAGGGGACATGTATCTTATGGTCCAAGACTGAAGACTATACTGTGGAAAATGTTAAAATCTTAACTCAAAATATGCTGATTGGAGCGATGACAAGGCAGACTGACCGTTAGTCAACGATTTTGATAGTCCAACATAACAATCAACTCTCGGGTATGATTAATTAAGTAAAATTCAGGATTAGTTTAAGTCGCACGATATTATATTGGGAACGGCTACTGTGCTAATTGTACAATAGTTAGCATCGTCCTAACCAAGGGAAAAACTACTACTAGTTTGAATTAGTAGTGATTTAGCTTAGATGTTGTATTGATTTTATAATAATCCGTAGTGATTTCGTTATTTTTAGTAGCGTTTTTTGCTAGTTATCACGGTGCTAACCCCTATAAGGGTTAGCACCTAATCCCATCCCTATTATATTTTGAAAAGATTGACCAGAATGTTAAATATGGAAGAAGAAAAAATTGAAAGCAGAAAAAAAAATTATTAACCCTTATTCTTGACAAAATAATACCATATATAACCATGAGTTTATGTTAGGAAAGAATAACCCTGCATTAAGTTGGTACGGAATTAAATATTTAATGCGCTAGTTTGGCCTCTTTTGCATAAACAGTTTTGGTTTGAGCTTTTAAAGAAGTACTTTTCAAAAACTATTAGAAGTGTTTTTTTAATATGAGAGGTTATGTAAAATGGCTATAAAGAATTTAGAATATAAAATACGAATAAAAATTATAAACAATGAAAAGTAGTCAATATGAATCTTGTTAGATTTTTTATTAAATAATATGATTTTAATTTTTAATATTATTTAATCTTGTAAATAAAATAAAATTATATTTTCTGAAATACGATTAAAATATGGTAAGGATAATCTTGTATTTTCAAAACAGATTTTCGCAGAAGCTTCTGGTTATATGTTATACAAAAGTGCGTTTCAACTTTTCAGCTCTTCAAAAACCGAGCCTTTAGAGTTGTCTGGTCTTGCTTTAACTTTTGAAGCCGAAAAAAAACACTTCTAAAATCCGGCCGCGGAACCAGAATACCAAGTGTTGGGCTTTCTTCTATACTGTTTTGAGTTTGACTCGGACGTTTCTGGTCTCTGCAGTTTACTTGGTTCAAATGCGGCGGCCTTTCAGTGGGCCTCAGCTGGGCTCACCTGCTTGGCGATCCATTCTCAGCCTGCGCCTTCATCAACACTTGGGCCCAACTGCTGCACGGCCGAGCCACTCCTCTTTCTCTCCACCACCCGGGCTTCAAGGATCCATCCCCGCCGCCACTTCACCGGCCCAAGAAGAACCCGTCCTCTCTGAAACGGGTCGACCCGGTCGCCGACTCCTGGCGACCTACCTCCAACCCCAACGCCGCCACCACAAGGACTCACACCTTCCGCCTCACAGCTCAGCAGCTAAACGACCTCGCATCCGCCGCTACCTCCGCTTCCACCGCCAAGATCTCCCGTTTCGATCTCCTTGCGGCGATCCTATGGAAATCTGTGGCCAAGATCCGAGAGGCGACGACGGTGACGATCTGCTGGAACAAATCCCCGGCCAGGGAGCGGGAGCTTCCGAGCAACAGAATGGCGGTGGGAGCGGTCCGCGCCGATTTCGCGGTCCGCGCCGATTTCGCGGTGGCGAAGTGCGAGGTGTCCGAGCTGGCGGAGTTGATTGCGGAGAGGAAGGAAGACGAGAGCGATTCGATCGAGGAAGCGATGTCCGGCGGGGAGTTCGATTGCGTGGTGTACGGAGCGAATTTGACATTTGTGAACCTGGAGGAGGCCCCGATCTATGAGATGCAGATGAAGAAGGGGCGGAAGCCGGTTTTCGCGAATTACAAGATTGAGGGAGTCGGCGAGGAAGGGTCGGTGCTGGTGCTTCCTGGCGGCGACGGCGAGAAGGAAGGGGAGGGATCTGGGAAGACGGTGACCGTTATGCTGCCGGCGAAGCAGTTGGCCGGGTTGAAGGAGGATCTAAGGAAGAGCTGGGGAATTGTATGAGGTGTTTACTGTTTACTGCCATGGTAAACATTGATTTTGTCGTCTTTTGATTCCAGTGATTATAATTTGTCAAAAAAGGTAAAAAAGATTTCAGTGATTATATCAAGAAGTTAATGGGAGAAGATTTTTAATTTTTAATTTCAAGTGAGCGGTGTGTTAGTGTGTATCTGAGTTGAGTTTGGCTTGAGTTCAAGTCCTTAACGCTCATTTTTTAAGAAAAATTTTAAAGTCTTCCTATTGGCTGACAGTGGATTGGGTAGTTAATGGGATTAGTAGTTAATAGGTAGTTAAGGGCAAATAGGGTTATGCAAATATAATTAATTAATGATTTTCTTTCTCTCTCCTCCCATGATTTTCTCCATAACCCTCTCTCTACATTATAATTAAAAAGAAATATGAAATTAATTTTATTTAATGTTTATTAAAATCCGAATTTAATAATTTTCATTTTCTAAAATGAAAATTTGAAATTTAAAATATATGCCTCTCTCGCATCTTGGGAACTTCCGATTAGTATTAAGTATTAATATTTTGTAATGACATTATCAATATTTATAAATTGAATTATCATTAGGGCTTTTTATGGCATGGGTTTGATATTTTTCGTTGTTAGGTATTCGTTTGTGTTATTATTAATGTTGTTCGACATATTTTTTTAATAATTTTATATGACATTATTAACTTTTTATGTTATGTGTTGTTTGTAACATTAGCAAAAGTGAAATTGTGTTCTCAATTTGTTGGTACTCGAAGTTTATTTACTATTACATCGTATTATCAATTTGGTTCGCAATGATTTATAATCATTTGAAGTGCTATTATCAATATTTTTTTCCAAGCACAATACAACCATTAGCAAAAATTTAATTCATTTGTAAGATTGCTTATGTTTAGTGATTTGAATTATTAATATTTTTTCGTTTATGTTTGTAACTTTGTCAAATGTCATTATCAAGAAGCATACTTGTTAGATATTCGTTTGTTTATGACATTATCAAAAGTGAATTTACGTTTAATGATATAACTATGTTTATTAATCTTTCAGTCTAAGTTAGTAACGCAGTTGGTGTCATTATTAATAGGCGTGTATAAGAATTATCAATGTTTGAAAATAAGATATTAATAATATCTAATAAGGTACTTAACAATCATTAGTTTTTATCATTATCAAAGTTTTTGGATGCATTATCTATTAAACATATGTTACTTATTAATGCGTTTTTAGTGCTATTTGACATTAAACATTGCATTAGAATATTATTAAACATTGCGTTTTCAGTGAGTTGATGCGATATTAATGGTTTTTAGTATCTTTATTAAAAGTTTGATGTCATTTATAATGTTGAAGTCGGACATTTTTACATTGATGTTTTGTGTTTATTTTCAATGAAATACTTTTCGTTATCAATGATTTATTGTATTGTTATTAAAAGTTTGGTGTTGAGGGGTGAATGTTGGTTTGCTTGAGCTAATATTTTTATGGACAATGTATGTTTGACTGAATCACACAGGTGCACTATGTTACAAGTACCCAAGATTTCGAAAATTAGTATTGTGCTTTATGATCATTGAGGATGATAATGTAAAGCAATATTAATTGATCATAAAACGTTAATAATGTCATTAGAAATCATTGGAAGAGGCCATGACTAGATAGTTATAAACATGATGTGAAAATGTGAATCATTAGTATTAAAGATGTTGTAAATCAATGATATTGTTATTCAAACTATTTTTTTTTTGAAACTATTCAAACTATTAATTACTATGTTACATAACTTTAATGATTCATTCATAGGCGTTGATGACGAAACTATAAAACAGTAACAATTTATCCAAAATTGTTAATAATGTAATTGTAAGGAATTGATAAGTATATTGAAGTCGTTAATAATGATGAGGTATAATAATAACGATTCATTTCATAAATGTTGATAATGTCATTGCAAAATGTTAATACTGTATTGCAAGTTGCCACGAAGTGAGAGAGAGCATATATTTTTAATTTTCATTTTACAAAATAAAAATATTAAGTTCGAATTTATTAAATATTAAATAATAATATTTAATTAAATTAATTTCGAATTTCCTTTTAATTGTAGTGGAGAGAGAGGGTTATGGAGAAGATCAAGGGAGAGAGAGAGAGAAAGAGAATCATTAATGAGTAATATTAATTATATTTTCATAATATCTTATTTATTCCAACTAACTATTAACTACTAACCCCTCATTAACTACCTAATCTAGTATCAGCCAATAAAAATGGTTTAAAAACCTCCTTAAACAATGAGGCTTAAGGACCGGATCCAACCCGGTTGAGTTTGATATTTGGTGAGTGCTAATTGTTTGGGAAGATAACAAATACTCAACTAGGGGTGGGCACATGGGTGGTTAATCTGCGGATTGATATCGATCCACCCGCAAATAACCCGACCCGCATGCAATGGGTGATTGATGTGTGGATTGCGAATTGTTAAATCTCCCACCCGCACTTATGTGGGTGGATTGTGGGTGGATTGCGGGTCACCCGTATGACCCGCATTCTATTTTTTACATGGAAAAATGTTGTTTCTTATAGTATCGAATATTCATCATATTTTCAAATGCACTACAGTCTGACCATATACTGCAAAAGGTGGAGAATAAAGAATAGTTTTGACTACTATTATTGACTATTGTGTTGTGCAATATCCATTTGCAATGGATATTGGTATGCAAATTATCCATTAAAATATTGGGATACAAACTATAAATTATTAATTGTATCAAAATCATAAATTATTGATACAATCTTACTAATGTGCTATGAACTTATTATAAATTTTAGTCAATTTTCTTAATGGCTAGTTGGAGAATTGCTTTTGCGGGTTAATCCGCGACCCAACCGCACCCACCCAACCCAACCCGCATAAGTATGTGGGTGGATTGCGGGTCACATATATTCCAACCCGCTAGTAAGCGGAAGGTCAATTTTAGACCAAAATCCACCCAACCCGCCCATTGCCCACCCCTACTCAACTCCATGTCAAAGCATGTACGTTGTTATATATGCTTTGATAATTGATACTATAAATCACAAATGAATAGGTAATTTTGAGTATTTTGTAAGATTTGACAGGAATATTTTGTACACGGCTCGTACCCAAGTTTAAATTATCTCAAACGTCTAGAGAACTCAGAATGAAATACAAAATCGGAATAAAATACTTGGGTGTCATTAAATTTTCACAATTGAGGGGACCGTACAACTGAACTACAAATAGCGCATTGGCCATCACCCATTAGGTACCATCCAAATTCCAAATCAATAAATTATGATCTCGTTCATATTTGTAACTAGTTTTGTGTCTGCGTATATCTTATTTTTTTTTTCTTTTTTCAATAGCGGTAGGCTATTATTTAGATTGAGTGCGATTAGGAGCTATTATCATGTAGAGTAGTAAGAGTCTATAATTCATCATTATTTTGAAGATCATATTCACGATAATATCTTTTAATTGATTTATATGTTAGGCCAAATATTGTGAGTGTCTAAGATTTATTTTAGTCTGGTGACAAAATTTCACGCAATTGATTCAAATTATCATATATAGTTTGCGAATCAAAATCATTTCAATTTATTTCTCCATTTGATGAATGTATAACTCAATAAAAGTACTAGTTTAACATTATGGTGGTAGTAGGCTGTTCAATCAATGAAAAATTTGCCCCCTTGTAGATACGTATAACACATGCCCATCATTCAAATGACAATCCATCTTGCACTCATATAACTATAGTCAAAAGATCAATTGTTGTGCACAGTTCTCTTTTTCATAATGTACTTATTTATTGACATAAACATAAGCACATATTTGGTAAATAAGCAACTAAGAAATAAATATGGTTTAGATTAACGAAAGGGAGAGACAATTGCATATCAAGAGCATGTAATTAAGATGTAGTTGTAGTACTATTTACCAATCTATACACCTATAATTGTGTATTACCTTTAACCCTTTTAATAATTATATGAAAATGTTAACTATAGAGATGTCTCCACTTTACATTACCATATAATATTAATTTTAATAACCAAAGATCAAAAGAAAATAGCAGTGTCGACAGCTGTAATGTTCCTCCTTATAGTTTATTACTCATCATCATTAGTACTACAAATAATTAAGTTTTATCTTTGCATCATGCATTTGAGTTACTTCATAGACATTCTAACAAATAACTTATATGAATTAGCTGATGACTAGCATAGACTATAGAGTAACTGATGTAGTTTTATTATAAAATGAGGATTTACTATTTAGAATTGATTGGAGATGAGAGATTGTGTAAACCCAACCTATATAGGTATTGTGGAGGAATTAAGAAAGAAGACGGCTTTAGTGAAGTCAAATTGCATATTTATGTGGGAAGGTGGTAAACTAAGTTGTTCTAATCATCTATCGACCAACAATGAAGCATAAGCAAAATATAGAGAATGATGTAATTTTAACGTATTTACAAAATGTAGGAGAAAAATAAAATTGGAAAAGAAAAGGAAATTTTGCAAACAATGCTGACTTGAGCAAAGTAAAAAATGTGAAAAAAGCAACTTAATCACACTTCTATTTTTTCGAAAGACAAAAGATAATTGTTGTGAAACTTGTGTGTAACACTTTAGGTGCATAACCCTGAAATTAAAAAATGCATAACCACTCCCACCTTAATTATATCCTATTATTTTGAACTCGAATTTCGTATTTATTTATTTATTGTTGCATAAAAAGATCAAATAAATATACTATACAAAATGATATTTACTATTATATATTTTGAAAAAAGAACGTTGTTATATTTTAGTAATTTTTATGGTGTAGGAATTATCATATTTTGTTGCAAACATGGGAAATATCGAGAGGTATTCAGGTTACTTAGGCCGATCATGGTGTACAACGGGGTGGATTATGAAAGAGAAGTTAAAGGGGGACAGCGGATGTTGGGTGATAATTATATTACCGTTCACACTTGGGATAAGAATTTCAAGCCTTACATCTACGAAATATCTTCCACGCTCGTCTTGACTCGCTTGTGAGATGTTATGATTCATTAATTCCACTCATTTGTTGTCATGGAGAGCGGTTAACGCATAGGCAAGCCCTTGTGATTGGGCCAAGCTACACTTATAGATGCAAGGAGCGACTACGCTCGAGTTTGTGCCTAGGTGGATCTAACCAAGCTGCTACTTTGTCAGCTCCGTATTGATGGCATAACATACTTCATTCTATATGAGGCCCTTGGCAAAATATGCCTTCATTGCAAGACCTACACCGAATTTTCTAAGTGCCTTTGCACTAAAACGACATTATCACTCGTTGACACCCTTCTTTAGTGGTCTGATTTCATATGAGGAGTGGAGTATGGATGGCAAAAAATATCCGTAACCGTGGATATACGCCCGAATCCGACCTAATTGGTTAGGGTAAAACTCGAACCCGAAGAACTTTTAGTGGGTACGGGTAAAACCCAAACCCGAATATCGCGGGTAATGGGTGGGCATGGTTTTCTCACTATCCAACCCGAACTCGCCCGATTATACACATGCATATGTATTTTGTCCGGAAATAATCAATATTTTTCTCTAACATATTTTATATTTAGCATATAAATATAAATATTTTTATGAAATTGTGTTGTTTTAATTAATTTTTTTTCATTCTAGTGAATTATTCTCGTACTTTTCGTCTTACGTAACGTGAGAATACATATAAATATTAACATATTGGTTGAAGTTATAAAGAAAAACTATTATCCATGGATAACCGTGAATACCCGAAACCCGAACGAGTATGAACATGGTTTGAATTTTCTACCCGTTTCTCTTATGTAGGTATGAGTATGGGTAAAATCCGAACTACTTTGAACAACGTAACGGATATGCACTATCTATCCCCGACCCGACCCATTGCCCCTAGAGTGGGGAGATATATATTTTTTTTGGACAATCAAAATACCAAACTAGTACAAACTACAAAGTAGAAACTAAGAAGGAAAATTTCACTCTGGTTTGATCCGGTGTGGTGGGCGACCCGAACAAGAACAACCTCTGCCCGGTCCAAGTGGGACCCACCTTTTGCAATACTCCATCTGTATTTCGTCTACTCTCCAGTCTCCCCGCAATTCTCTCTCTCTCTCCCGGTCCCCGACTGTCGCTGCGCTGTGTATATCTCTGCTCACCCACCCCATCTCCAATGCGCTAGGGTTATATCTCTCACATATATCTACTATTACATCCAGAGCAGAGAGATATAGCCCAGAGCGAAAAGCGCAGAAATTTTGAACTCCCCTAACTCTGCGCCGAGCCGACGGGGACCGGGGCCGGCAGAGCGATCGTATCGGTCCGATTTGGAAGTTGCGCGGGGCTGAATCCATTCCTCCTGTCGTTTGATTGGTATTCATTTTCTTCCCCCCCCATGAGTTCCAGCGGTCCGGATTTGGTGCGGCTCGTGGAGTCGCTACTCGGAGTCTCCCTCGGCGGTGCCTCGTCGGACGTTGTGGTTCTGGTCCTCACCACCTCTCTCGCCATTGTTGTGGGGTTGGTAGTCTTCTTGTGGAAGAGATCGTCCGATCGGAGTAGTAAAGAGGTGAAGCCGGTGGTGATAACCAAGCCGTATTCGTTGAAGGAGGAAGAGGACGAATCCGATGCCTTGGCTGGAAAAACTAAGCTCACCATCTTTTACGGGACTCAGACTGGGACGGCTGAAGGTTTCGCTAAGGTAATTGTCTCTTCTTTGGTTTGTTTCCGTTGAAGAAGATCGAGGTTTATTCTGCGAATTTGACTTTGCTTTCATGGTGTCTTCTTGGGTTTTTTATTTATTTATCAATTTTTGAATGAGAATTAAGTTATTGGAAGATGTTGGTCTGGGATGTGCAATGGTATTTGTTTGAGATGATATCTCTTCGCATTGGAAAGTCCTGGTTATCTGGAAATTAGTCAAAGCCTGCTTTGGACTCAGTAAGACTTTGAGTTTTGGAAAGCTGACTTCTTTAGTTGGGATTCCTTTACCCGTTTCTGTAGCTTTATCATGGAGACATGGACTGTTAGGTGTGAGAATTGCTGGTGTGACCCTTGGAGTATCAGATGAGAAGCAATTCCTGGCGCCTTCAGTTTTGGCTGCCTCATTGTGAACAGGAGTGCCAATAGAACCTTAAACCTTTTACTATTATTCTTAATAGTTGAGGGGTTTTGTTTGTTGATGTTTCATATAAATGGATTGAATCTGACATTTTAAGGGTCGTGTTATTGTTTCATCTGTGATTATTAGGCTGAAATGAAAAGAAAGAAAATTTTAATTCTAATATATGTGCAGCATGTAATTTTTATTATCCTTGATGCTTTGATGATTCTTTAGTGCAGTGAATTTTGTGTTTGATTGCTTTCTCATCGAACTTTTAATGCAGGCTTTAGCTGAGGAGATCAAGGCAAGATATGAAAAGGCGGCTGTCAAAGTTGTTGACTTGGTGAGTGTAATTCAGTGTTGCAGGGAGGTGCATATTTCCGTAGATATTTGGTTATCTAGAACTTGGTAACATTTGTGTATCTCCTTATTGTTGAGTCAGGATGATTATGCTATGGAGGATGATCAGTATGAAGAAAAGTTGAAAAAGGAAACTTTGGCGTTTTTTATGGTGGCTACGTAAGAGACTTTAACTTCTGCTGGTTCTTTCATGTTATTGTCTCTGACGAGGTTCTTTAATGTTACTTTAGTTTTGAAGTTATTGGAATAAACAAGGGATTCACTTATATAAGCTTGCTATTGTAGTTATGGTGATGGGGAACCAACGGATAATGCTGCAAGGTTTTATAAGTGGTTCACAGAGGTTGGTCAGTTCATTGAATTCTATGGTGAAACTGCAATCTGAAGTCATTTGTTATTGGCGTTGCCGCATCGGGTCCTATGTCTTTTAGCTCAACCTTGAATTTGTATTCAGGAAAATGAAAGAGGTGTTTGGCTTCCAGAACTCAATTTTGGTGTCTTTGGCTTGGGTAATCGTCAGTATGAACATTTTAATAAGGTAACTCTAGCATGCTGATTCTATTATGTATATAGGTTCTCATGATCTAATGACACACCGTATCTTCAATATTCAGATAGGGTTTTTTTTTTCCATTTCAAATTTTGGAATTTTTTTTTGTCAACGATAACTGATAAGATATCTCCCGAAAACAGATTGCAGTTGTCCTTGATGAAGAACTTTGTAAACAAGGTAAGGCTCTGTGTTTTAACTTTTAATATGATTACCTTTATAAAGTTATATATTCATGCACATCAGATGAGGTCCAGTATCATTTTTTTCCGGAGTTTGTCAATTCAAAATATGATTATGTCCATTTATGTTGCACCGTTTTTTGCAATCTTAACGGTGGAAGACATGCATATAGCATGGCTGTATGTTACCCTTTCCTATTATGATTAACCTAGGGTAGAGAGAAGTTTGAGAGTATTATTTTCTTTCAACCTTGTCACGGCTTTTTTCCTAGTTGGTTTTTTAGCTTTCTCATTGTTTTGGTATAGATTGTTTCTAATACTTTGTTGCTTAGGTGGCAAGCGTCTCGTTCCAGTTGGTCTAGGTGATGATGATCAATCCATTGAGGATGATTTTACTGCATGGTACACAATCTTCAGAGTTTAATCTTTTATGAACTCTGTTGCTTGTTCTTCACAATAGTCCCTGACTTGAATCTGGAGGATGAGCTTTTTATTGGGTTGTAATAAGCTGTAATGTATTTCTTTTTGTTCGCCGGCAGGAAAGAATTATTATGGTCAGAGTTGGATCAATTGCTCAGAGATGAAGATGATGTGAATACTGCATCTACACCATATACGGCAACAATACACGAATATCGTTTAGTTATTCATGATCCTTCTGTAACATCTTATGAGGACAACTTTGGAAACTTGGCAAATGGCAATACTTCTTTTGACATTCACCATCCGTGCAGGTATCAAGCAACGAGTAAATTGGTTGGTAATCATGGATGTTTCTGTTTTCCTACTAAAAATGACAATAATCTTTGCTTTCCATAGAGTCAATGTTGCTGTCCAAAGAGAGCTCCACACACCGGAGTCCGACAGGTCTTGCATGCATCTGGAGTTTGACATTTCGGGCACTCCTATTGCGTAAGTTTCATTATCATTTATTTCCAGATACTGTATAAACTATCCACTGTCCGAGGTAATTGATTTTGTTGATACTAATGAATAATATAATGTACTTCACCCATCCTTGGTTTCCCTATTCTGGGTTGGTTAAAGTGTCTCGTGATTTGGCATAGGCTTTTTTCATATGTGTGAGTGGTTCTGTTGCTTGGTCATCATATACTTCTTACCATCCTATCTGCTGCTTGATAAGCGCATCAAATTATCTTTGCTACTCTTACTAAACTGGGTTTTGATATATTACTTGTTCCTCAGATATGAAACTGGAGATCATGTGGGTGTTTATGCTGAGAATTGCGAGGACACTGTTGAAGAAGCCGGGAAGTTATTGGGCCAACCCTTGGATTTGTTGTTCACTATTCATTCAGACAAAGAAGATGGGACACCCTTAGGAGGTTCATTGGCGCCTCCCTTCCCTGGTCCTTGCACTCTACGTTTGGCACTTTCACGCTATGCTGACCTCTTGAGCTCTCCACGGAAGGTTATGTTTCTACTCATATTTAAAACGCCCTTTGCACTTATACTTAGATGAAGTGCTGACTTATCTGTAATGTTCTTTTGAATTCTGCTATGTCATCAGTCTGCTTTGGTTGCGTTGGCTGCTCATGCAAGTGAACCAAGTGAGGCAGAGAGACTTCGATTTTTATCTTCAGCACAGGGGAAGGTGAATAAACTATTGATGCTAGTTGTTGTTTCCATCTTGGCTCTTTTATGTTTGTGCTGTGCTTGGACTCCTGTTAATTCTGCGTTCAACTTCCAGGATGAATACTCACAATGGATTGTTGTTAGTCAAAGAAGTCTCCTTGAGGTAATGGCCGAGTTCCCATCTGCAAAACCTCCTCTTGGCGTATTTTTTGCAGCAGTGGCTCCTCGACTGCAGCCTCGTTACTATTCAATCTCATCTTCTCCTAGGTGATGACTACTTAAATGTATTCTCCTACTGAAATTCTCTAATGTTTTTGGTTTTTTTAACTTGGGCCCTTTAATATCTCTGCAGATTTGCTCCAAATAGAGTCCATGTAACGTGTGCTTTAGTTCATGAGCAGACACCAACTGGTAGAATCCACAAGGGAGTGTGTTCAACCTGGATGAAGGTATGTGCCATTTATTCCCTTAATGCTTAATTTATGTTCTAATATGCATGCATTGTGCGGGAGTCATAAACGCTGGTTTGCTGTGTTCGACATTAACGTGATTACCATTCATTATACAGCACACTATTCCTCTTGAGAAAAGCCAAGATTGTAGCTGGGCTCCTATTTTTATCAGGACCTCTAACTTCAAGTTACCAGCTGACCCTTCAACTCCGATTATCATGGTGGGACCGGGTACTGGATTGGCACCTTTCAGGGGGTTTCTACAGGTTGAAAATTCTCCTTGTTTGAAGATGTTCTGTATATATTTGTGGTCTACACAGCAGAACCTGAATATTTACATGTTATCTTTCTAGGAAAGAATGCATCTGAAAGAGGAGGGCCGTCAGCTTGGCACTGCTTTGCTGTTCTTTGGATGCAGAAACCGACGGACTGTGAGGCCTTGTCCATTAACGATTTATAAAGTTTTGTTTAGCCTTGAGATCCATTGATTGCGAACTTGTTCATGTGTAGGATTTTATATACGAGGAGGAGCTAAATAAATTCGTGGAACAAGGAGCGCTCTCTGAACTCATTGTTGCCTTTTCAAGGGAGGGCCCACAGAAGGAGTATGTTCAACATAAGATGGTGGATAAAGTAAGTGGAGGGCAGATGGAGTTTTTTCGTCAATGTAATGAATGGATAATAATTTGTTTGGGCAAACTCTAAAATCCAATTTGCAGGCTGCAGAAATATGGAGCATAATTTCTCAAGGGGGATACTTTTATGTGTGTGGTGATGCCAAGGGGATGGCAAGAGATGTTCATCGCACTTTGCACAACATTGTCCAGGAGCAGGTACTCACCATGATATGTTCTTGTTTTGATTTCTGTTGTGCAGTTGGTGCTTGCTAGTTGGCAAATGACAACCATTTCATCGGTGGTAGAATTATACATTGGCAAACGAGTCACTGAGAGAACCCCTCCTCTCTTTCTTTGGAAATATGTATGACCTGTGTGGTTTTGCAGGGAGGGTTGGATTCGTCGAAGACGGAATCTATGGTGAAGAAATTGCAGATGGATGGGCGATACCTTAGAGATGTATGGTGATCGAATGGTTTATCCTTCGCCAGTGTTTGCGATTATTTGCTCAGCAGTTCGCCCGAAAAAGTATAGCATTGATTTATTCATCTACTTGAGCAAAAGCCTCTTTGATGTTCAAGCTGGTGGGGAAGATTAAGATAAAACATTCCATTAAGGAGCGTAAATTGTATTCTGTCTGTCTGTCTTATCTGCCTTAGCTTGGCTACGGGTTTTCAGTGTATCTTCCCTATAGTTTGGAATACAGGTTTCGTCATTATAAACTGCAGAACAAGGATACGAGTGCAAATGTAGCTAGTTTACAAGGAAAGCGGCAAGTTGAAATGGACAAAGATACAGAGGCTGTTTGTTATCGTTCCTCTGTTTTCCTCCATAGGAATTTATGTATGAAATCATTGTAGTAAGGAAGAATAAAACATGAAGAATTGGGTTCATGTAATAAGAAGGTACTTATTAAAGTTGTGTTTGTCATTTGTCTCTTTGATGATTGTCATAGGCTTACATGGAAGTGCTTAAGTTTCCTGTTATGCTTCTTTGTGGATACTTGATTTATGAAGTCTTCGGGTTAGGTTATGAGATTGTGGATTAATCGAAGATTAGGAATTTGGAGATTGATATAGAGAATTGGGGATTGAGAACGAGAATCGAGGAAGAACAAAATTAGGGATTTGTGATTTGGAGATTGATATGTAGAATTGGGGATTGAGAACGGAAATTGGGGAAGAACAAAATAAGGATTTGCGAGAGTAGCTTAGAGGAGAAGAAAAAGAAGGGAAGAACTCGGCCTAGATCGATGACAAGAAAGAGAAGAGAGATCAGGGTTGGAGGATAATTGGGTAAATTGCAAATTTGGTTACTAGATTAATTTAATATTATATGTTTGGTCTTTGTATGTTACCTTCTATCATACCCCTTTAATAGCGTTAGTGTTTTGATGAAGTAACAAACAAATTAGTAATCCAGTGAACAAATTTGCAATTAAGTCGGGGTGTATTATCTTGGTATTCTTTCTTAGCTGAGGTACCCTCCAGATTTCTTCTATTGGATCGAAATCCAATACAAAGCAGTGAGTCGATTCACTATAGTGCAATTGAATCCCTACTATCAATTGATGGTGCTTGACACGCTAAAACACAACACCAAACTGCGACCAAGTGTAATCGCAATCCGGAAATGCAGTAAAGTGACAAGTTCTATTTGTCAACCCGGGGTCTAGATCTACTGCCTACTCCGTGATTATCTATTATCTAGCAAACTAAGTCGAGTGATTGTGATTTAAGTAAAAGCAATAAGAAAGCAGAAAATGGTTCAAAGTTCTTGAGCAAAGAAAGAGTCCCTTGGGAATGAGTCCCCCTAGCTCCTTAGTTAGGTCAAGATTGTAATTACCCTGGGTTGATTAACTGTTGATTAAACTGCGGAAGATCCGACAGTAGCTTGGAATCTCTTAAGCTCACCAAACCCTCCCAGGCAGACTAACCGACAGGCGACTAGCCTTCACCGGGATAGACTGCTGAGACAATAAGTACAGAACTCCACTACTGGAATTGGATTCTAGTACAAAGCAGTAAATCGATTAACTCTCGTATAACCAATCTACCACTACCGATTAATGAAGCTCTAACAACCTAATTAGATTCTATCTATCTCAGGTTGCAGCAGAAATCAAGAAAAGATGATCAGGCTTCAATTGACTCAATGAATCATGCATCAATCGATTAAAATCAATCAGTATATCAATCCAAAGTCATTATAATCAAGATTCCTAACACATGGAACTAGGGTTCTTCATACCCAAGTGAGAGGGGGTTCTACTCCATAGAGAGAGAGAGAGGAAAACAGAAATCAGAGCAGTCATACTCATAAAGATGAGGATAATCTGCTCTGGGATATCGATCTTCACTCCTGGGGATGCAATCTGGGCTTCAATGGTGAGAAATCCACTCCAAATAGTTCCTAGAGTTTGTTCTTCGTACTTTCACTCTCTAAAGCTCAGTTTTTTGCTCAAAAACTCGACCCCCCTCCAAAAGACTCGAAATTGGGTTAAAACCCAGAATTTTCCGACTTAACGGCCAAGCCACACGGTCGTGTAGAAATCCCAGCTGCCTGTGTAGAGGTGTAAACGCCGCGTTTCACTTAAGTGGTTCCATGCACGTCACACGGTCAGAACTGCACGACTGTGTGAAATCTCGGCCTGCCCGTGCAACACCTCTGTGATTTCCACACGGCCTCAAGGGACCCGGTACACGGCCAGTGTGGTTTGCCCGCGCAAAGGAATTCCACACGGCCACACGGCCGTGTGGCTGTTAGGTCTGGTCGTGTGGTTTCCTCAGCTTCTCGCCAAACGTCCAATCTTCGTCTAATCGATCCCGAACTCGTTCCCAAACCTCCATTCACGTACTAGGACCTGAAATATCACAAACAAGAACAACCTAGCGTGAAATCGGCCTAAGATACGAGAAATGAAGCTCAAACGGTATAAGAATGGTAGACAAAAACATGTGTATATATCAAGTCATCAATGCTCTAATAAACCTATCTAGACTTTATCCCTCCTAGGTTAAAACAGAAACCATAAATCCGATCAAGATTCAAACGATTCACTGAATAATGCATCAATCATATATAAACGATGAGTCAAACTCACTAGAGTGTCAAAATAATCATTAATTCGAACAAACAAAGCTATTAGAGTGTTCATATGGTTACCATGGTAATTACGAAAGCAAATAAGTCTAAATTTTGTCAACCGGGAAATACAATATCATAACCAAACCAACAAAACTAATACTACCAAATTAACCAAACTAATATTTAATTGGTTAGATTAATTGCTTAACGAGGTTAACAAAGTAATGACTTCAGGCATGGCCAGCTCCTGAAAAATATTTCTCATTTCTCTCTCAAATAGATTTCCCTTTTTGCTTTTCAAAGGAATAGTCTCTCTGCCTTATGTAAAGTTGTCAGAGTACGATCAGTGGCGGACCTAGGATTCTCGTACAGGTGTGTCGGTCAATAAAATTAAATAATAAATAAATTTTAATTATATTTTCATGTGAGACACAACGAGAAGTGGGATCGAAAGAGGTAAAGGGAACACTAGGATTTTTTATAAGATAGAAAATAATAAAGAGCGATAGTCCATATGCAACCGGACTTCCAATGAAAGAGTATTTTTTGTCACTAGGTGGTCAACTACGTGAAAGCTACAAGGATCAAGAAGAAACGAAACTTATTCAGATAGAGAGAAAAAAGGAGAAAACTTTCTTACGATTACCCTTGCCTACCTAAGAGCAATAAACCATTGAGTCTAAATGCTTAAGCAATGGAAAGAACCCCAAATTTGTCATAAACTAACTAAAATTTAAAAATAAATCATATATATTTGCGTATTTTGGGAACTTTATGACAACAATTTCATTGTAGTGTATTGAAGGTGTGTTAATTATAATTATTAAAGATGCGTCGGAAGTCCAAAAATTCAAAAAATAATACCAACAAAACATGGGTCTCTCACAAAATATTCGGGCGGAGGAGTGTCGCTTGACACACCTCCCCGACACATGGGTCCTCCCCTGAGTACGATTAACCTATGAATTTGAAATCACTTCTTAGGTTCGTCCATTGTAACTATTCGGAATCCACAAGAACTAAATTGACTTTCTTCTCCGGGAACAGTTTCATAATAGCTAAAACTATCATTCGTATACTATTATTTCAATTTGTTGAATGGTCCTAGGATTTTAAAGATTGAAAGAAAGAAATGCGTATTAAATGCACTTATAAGGGAGTTTCGTTATCCGGAATAAAATTCCCAAAAAATTGGCTAACAGAGGGAATACAAGAGTTTTATTGAAACACAAGGGTTACTTAATTATGTGAGAAAAAAATCTTATGTTAATGCATCAATACTTAATTTATATAATGAATAAAATATAAAAAACCAACACATAGTTAACTTTTAAAACAAATACATGCAACTAACACAATTAGCATATAGGCTTTAGAAGTAGCCACCAAACAAACATATATGCCAATGGTATGATAATATTGAATTGTGTGTATATGCGTGAACTGTCTTAGTCTCTTAGCAATTATCGAGGCCGGAAAATCCCTCCCCTTTCAGATTTTTATCCAACATAATGTATAGTTTTACCTAAATTAGGTGCTCATATGTTCTAGTCGACACCCGACAAAAATAAATGCAATATAGGAACAATAATAAACTTTATTTTTATGGGTCCAAAAGAATGAACGCTGGACTCTTGATTGATTATGAAAAGTATTAAGTATGCGGATATAAATATATTAGACATATGACTAATTGTTTAACTGTTAATTGGTTTAATTGGTTAGAGTGCCAAATATTGTAAAAAGTTTAATCAAACCAAACAAGTTATCCAAATAAGCCAAACTAATTAATTCGAATACTGTCGTTAAAATTATTACCATGATAACCACTTCATTTGAACACCCCCTAGAAGCCGAGGTTCATCATACCCTAGTGAGCAGGGTGTCTAGTCCATAGAGAAAGAAAGAATTACCGATTGATGAACATCATTGTGGTGATGAGGCTCGTCTTTCGATATGTAATCTTTACTCTTAGACTTGATTTCTGAGCTCAAATGGCAAAAGAATCCTCCAAAAAGCTCCAAGAATGATCCTTGGTCACTTTCCCTTGCTAGGACTCTCCCTCTTTCGATTTTTTATTGCAAAACTCGGATCCCTTTCTCCACAATCGTAGAAATCCTTTTATACCCGAGCAGAAGCAATGTCACAGCCGAAGTCACTTCAGGTCGTGACATTCAATGCACCGTGTTTCATCGTCACTTCAAGGGGTCTCACGGTCGTGACAATTGGGAAAGTCACGAGCATGAGATTAATGCTATTGCCCGTGACATCCCATACATCCCCTTCCTTGTTATTGAAATCTCACGGTTTGGGGTGGGAAGTTACGAACCAAACCATGACTTTGCTCTCACCGTGACACATGGGAGATGGCCAGACTTCCGTTTTGTCTTGTTTTTACCTTCAATCACTCAAAAACTCGTCCCTAAACTTCATCCACGTAAAATAACCTGAAAATATGATACAAAAATACAACCTAACATAAAATCGACGTATATAAGAGTATTTCCAATCCAAATGTTCAACAAACAATAAAAATATAAGGAATAAATATGTATAATTATGCACGCATCAGTCGTCACACGGACAGATGACGGACCTATGATTATTATACTACTAAAACTCATGGTTATTAGCCTAAAAAAAATAATTATATGTCGTCCATCCTCTTATTCCAACCAAACTAATAATTGGTGGAGTGCCAAATAAAAAAAAAAAAAAAGAACGGTCCAAAAGAAAAAAGTATATAAATGGAGAGTGTATCATGGAATTCGGAATGTAATTGATACTCCAGCTAGAAACTCTCGACGGAATTTATAAATATATAAAAAACCATATAATAAGAGGATCACAGACTACAGAACGAATCAAAACAGCTCCATCCCTCACTCAATCTGCCGCTCTCCTTGCGTAAATCCCGACCAAATCAAAACATCGAGTACTGTCCGCCGTCGTTAAAATCGCTGCCGATAAGGGCATTATCGTCGTCTCCACAACTACCCGTCTACACCTTCGAGCCCCTCAACCTCTCTCTCTCTTCGCGTTCCTTTTCCACCAAGAAAAGGGTAACCAGAAAAAGAAAAAAAAATCCTCCTTCTTCAACGGTCGTTCGTACTCGTACCCACTCCTGATTCCTTCTCCTTCAATCCTCTTCTGTTCCCGTTTCTGGGTTTCGTTCATTTTCTGTTCTGCTCGTTTTAATCCTCTTCTAAAACCCCTCCTAGGGTTTTAGGTGATTTGGGGATTTGCTCCTCTTTTGGGGGATTTTGCTAATTGGTGTCGCTGTTGTTCCTCGACGAGTTCAATCTCGTGGTTACTCGATTTGAATTGATTATTTTATCTGAAGAGTATGCAATCCCCTTTTAAGCGGGGGAAAACATATTAACAATGATTGAGAAGACGAAGAAGAAGGGCAGCCATAAGAGGGCGCGAATCAGTGAAGAGGATATCTCCGTCGTCTTGGAAAGGTGATAGCTTCTGCGGTTTTCTTTGTTCTGTTTGCCTTAAAGCTTTATGCTTTTCGTTTTCAGTTTGAGGCGGAGGGGTTTCCAGGTTCTTAGTGTTTTTTTTTCTTTTCTTTCGGTTTTAGGTATACCGCGACGACAGTGTTGGCATTGTTGCAAGAAGTAGGCCAACTTGAGGGAGTGAAGATTGATTGGAATGCGATTGTGAAGAAGACTTCAAGTGGGATTTCTAGCGTTAGGGAGTGCCAGATGTTATGGAGGCACTTGGCTTATCGACATTGCTTATCTGATAATCTGGATGATGGAGCTCAGCTTCAGGTATCCGCTTTTTTTTGCTTCTGCATGAATTTAAGCTTCTTGTGCCTGCCGATCCCCACCCTCTATATTTTCGAGCTTATTTTTCATATGCCTGTCTGCATCTGTTTTCAGGATAATGATAGTGACTTGGAGTATGAATTGGAAGCATACCCTGAAGTCAGTGGTGAGGCTTCTGCTGAGGCAGCAGCATGTGTGAAGGTTGGTTAAAAAAATTGTATGATGTGCTGTCTGCGAGGTCAATTGGGGACTGGTTTTGGTTTCACTAGATGTCTTTGTCTTATGCATCACAACTAGGTGAAGTCGTTCCTTACCATCATATGATTTTTCTTTTGTCATAGGTGTTGATGGCTTCTGGTTTACCAACTGATGCTAATCAAGCAAATGCGGGAACTGTTGAGGCTCCCTTGACTATTAACATACCAAGTAGCCATTCATTTCGTGCTACATCAGAAAATTCACAACCTGCTGCAAGAGGGATGAATATCACAATTCCTGTTTCTGTTCAGAAGCAACCGATGCCTTTACTGGCGGCTTCGGAAGGGATGGATATCAATGGATCTCAAATCGGCTACAGTCAATCCAAAAGGAAAAGAAAACCATGGTCCGAGGCCGAGGATCTGGAATTGATTGCTGCTGTACGGAAATATGGTGAGGGTAATTGGGCAAATATAGTGAAAAGCGAGTTCATGGGGGGTAGAACTCCTTCACAACTATCTCAGGTACTTCTTGACAATATTTTCATATGTTCTGTTTCTCATCTTCAGCTCTGTCACTGTCTCTTTTTAGTATAAGCCACTTCTTGGCAATATTTTCATTATCTTCTGTTTCTCGTCTTCAGGTTCACTGTATCTGTCTTGTCTGTTTTTAGTATAAGCCCCTTATTTAAATTTCTTAGTACTGTTATGCTTGGGATCTGTGGCATGCGCCAGTCCGACCTTCTCATATTAGAAGAGGAGATAATCCCTTTGCAAGGGCAAGAGGACATTGTGGCTCATCTTACTAATAATAATAATTATAATTATTATTATTTCCAGATCTCAGCACTTGATACCTGAGAAATAACTTTACACAGTGAGACACCTAGAAATTATAGATCTGCTGGGTAGTAATTACTAGTTAGTTGTTTTATGTGATACATGAAGTTGTCGGAAATCTATTATGAGTTTATCCTTGAGTCTTGCTGAGCCCTTCAGTTAGGCACCGAAGTTAGCTCCTTAGGTATACCAATAGATGTTGCTATTATTTTTACTGCATCTATTTTATTCTGCTTGTTATTCACCCGTTTGCACAAGTCCATGTTAAGTATCTGGTTTTTCTTCAAATGAATGCTGAACTTGTCAAGCAGGGTTGCGATGAAGCTTTCTGCTTCTTGTTATATATGAGCAGTGCCCTAATGAAGACTGCGATTTATGCTTTACTTATTCATCTCTTACACAATACTCTGTTAAGTTTCAAAGCGACTGATCTCTTAATCTTAAGATAGCAGCAAAACCTATTGTCAGCCATTATTGGAGATTAACATGTGGTCATGAAGGGAATGGGGCGCAATGGAACTGGCACTTTTTCTGTCAGCTATTTAGTGAAACAGTTTGGTCCTAAATGTGATCTTCCTTTCTTCAACTTGAGTGAGTTGTTGGAACTTTTAATTGATTTTTGAGTTTTATTAAGGGGCATTTTCAGTCTAATGAGGGTCACTGCATGGCTTCAGGATGAGAAAGCTGTGTGTTTAAGTATTTCTTCACTGCAACATGTTCAATATATTCATGTTCCACTGTTACATATTTGTTGGTACTTCCAAATCTGAACACAGTTATTTGTGCCTCACAAAGCAATCCGTTGTCATCTAGTCCGGTCAGGATGTCTGGGGTTAACCCAGTTTTCCCGGGTTCAAATCCCGGCGACGGAAATGGTACTAAAATCCATGTTCTTTCATGGTAAAGTCTCGCCAATTTGTGGCACTATAATAAATAGCTTTTATGGTGTTTATTTTTGTGATCATGTTCTCAGAATACAAAAGGGTAGTTTTAACAGTCATGGGGATGAATATATACCTTGATTTTAGCTCTTACCTACCCTACTGTCATAGATTAGTACTTGTTTGGTTTCACTTTCCTGATTGAACTAGTTTACCCCAAGCAGAGATGGGGCGTCATCCGTAAGAAGAACACCACCAACGTGAAACAGTTGACCAACTCCAGTGACTCCATAAGATCAGAAAAACATCTGGCAACTCGTCATGCAGTGAATATGGCACTTGATCGACCACCTAGGCTATCATTTATGAATAATAACACAGGTACATGGTGTGTTTCGAGGTTCTACGAGTTGGCTGACAAAATTCTGTTGAGCCCAACCGTCTGATTAAATTAAAAAGAACAATTTATGTGGAACTTTGAACAGGTGGCGGGACAACTTTTGCCAGTACCAGAGCTGTGCCTTCTGTCACCTCTAATGAAAGTCCGGTTGCAGTAAAACAGGAGCCTCCCCTAAAGTGCCCTGCTGTCACAAAGATTACAAATAATAACACAGGTACATTGTGTTTTTCGAGGTTCTACGAGTTGGCGGACAAAATTATGTTAGCCTTAATCCTCTGATTAAATTTATGTGGAACTTTAAACAGGTGGTGGGACAACTTTTGCCAGTACCAAAGCTGTGCCTCCGCTCAGCTCTAATGAAAGTTCGGTTGCAGCAAAACAGGAGCCTCCTCAAAAGCGTCCTGCTGTCAAAAAGTTTCAGCTGATGGACCCAGCAGCAAATAAGGGAGCAGCAGCAGCAGCAACAAGACAGAATCTGGCGTCAGATCCTGTACGAGCAGCTGCAGTTGCTGCTGGCGCTCGCATTGCTAGCCAGTCAGATGCTGCTTCACTCCTGAAGGCTGCTCAGGCAAACAATGCTGTCCATATCATGGCCAAACCCGGTCCACCGGGCCGACCAACTGTGCTTACTGGTTCGTCCACTCACTCAGAGACTCGCCCCAAGGTCAACCAGCTGCCACTTCCTACCAGTTCCATTGGTCTGAGGCAGAGTGCTTCCCCGTCAATCGTACAGAGGCCTCCTACATCAATGAAGATTTTATCTGTCAAAAGTCGAAGCGAACTTCCACAAGTGCGAGATGGTAAAACTGTTGAAGGTTGCATCAAGGTCTGTTCCTCCAGTCCTGAAGGTGCCGGGAAAGCTAAAGTGCAGCAAGAAGGTGGTGGCCATGGTGAGCAAGTGAAGAATGATGATAGAACAGCATCCGGAAATAAAGATCCGAAACAGAATGGCAAGATGCCAGTTGCTCGGAACCCTGGTCCTCTTATACCGAACAAGGTGAATGTTGAGAATGGCAAGGTAGGTCCCTTGGAAAAAAAGCCTCAAGAGAGTCGAAACGAAGATGAAAGTAAGAACAATGGCGCCTGTTCTTCCAAAGAAAGCGAAAAGAAGCAACCTGCTACACAGGGTAGAGAAGAGAACGATGAAAACAGAAGCATGAACAAGCAGCAGCAACAAGATGTGCCAAAGATTGGTAGTGGTAATGGATGCAGTGAGAAGATGGAGAAAGTGGGAAGAGCAGGAGAGGATGCTGGTAACAAAGTACAAGCTGACAAGGATGGAGTGAAGGCAGAAAAGAGTAGTTAGCTTAAAATAATAATTTTAGAGCTCTTTCATTGGGTTTTTTTTTTCTTGTTGGTTTAAGTCTTGTTTGCATTGAGAAGAAGGGTTTCTCTCGTTTTATTTTATAATTGTAAATTGCAGTAATGTAGAAAGGAAATGATGATGGGATGGATATATGGGGGGATGGCAATGGATGGTGTAAATCCTTGACTTTCTTATGTGGCTGGTGGTTCAGTGACTGAAATTTATTTTCTTTCATTTGTTGAAAATTGAAATACATGGTAACCTGCATTGTTATACTAAAGCAGTTGCAATTAGTTACGTTAAAAGATTGGTGAGGAGAATGCACAGTTTGGAAGCCGTCGCATCCAATTAACCAATCCTTTAAAATTATTCAATTAATTCAATTCATTTTAACCAAATTCAATTGGATTGGTGGATTCATGAATTGGTGAAAATTACAGTTCAATATCTTTAAATTTATTTTTTACCATTTGGTACCTAAAATTTATTTTTTATACAAAAAATATTATTGGAAAATTATATTTTGGTACCTAAAAATTTTCATTATGACATTTTAGTACCTAAACTTTTCACAGTTTACATATTGGTCCAAGGTTGAGGATGTCATTTGGATTCATGGATAATCCACTTGATCCAATCCATGAATCCACGAATCCAATCCACCAAACCACGAATCCAATCCATTTACCACCTCTAACTGCATCACAAATCCGTACAAAGACGAGACCTGACACCTGGGTATACATGTAATTTTCATTGTATCACATTTGGTTTAGGTTTTGTTTGAGCGCAAGTGCCAACTTCATCCAATGACACGATAGGTTTTGTTTGAAAACCAAATATGAGGATCACTTAAAATTCTTTGATGAATTTTTCAACAATTCAAATTATTTAAAAATAAAAGAAATGACTTTTTTGGACAACGATTCTAAACACGGCTCACATCTCCCGAAATATGTTCAAACGAGGGTGTTTGATATTTTTTTATGGCTTTTGGGACAAATTAAGTTACGTTACCCTACTCTTATGGAGATTTAGTAAGAGCTCCAGAAAGTAAAGGATGACTATGACTATTGCAGAGAAAATGATCAAGTTTGACATGTGTTGTCAAATGTTTGGCTATGGAACCTTTGCTTTATCTTTGTTTCTTCTATTTATAGCCATCACTTGTAACCACCATGTAACTGTCTCTTTGTAACTGCTGCTCCACTGCTTGGTTCTTGATTTAGCCCGCTTGACGCTTTCACTGCCTTGCTTGCCTGTATACCACTTGGTACCTTGATAGCTAGACGACTTCACTTGGCAGGTAGCTACCTTGTGTCGTGGAGGTATCTCGTTTGACATCTTGACGTTTGATGCCTAATGCTGACCACCCTTGCATGACGTCATGCTCGACACCAGGGTGCTTGGAGAGTTGATGGATGCACACTAACGTCTGACCCCCTTGGGGTGACATCATGCTTGCAGGTTCTTGACAAGGTTGTCTACCATGTGATAATGTACATGTCTGACACTTAGAAACTTAATGACCTTGTCTACTAGGTACCATGATTGCTTATGAGTCTAGCATGCCTGGCTACTTTGGATGAGGGTTCTTTGTGCCTGCCCCCTTGGCATGATGTCATGCTTAGCACCCTGGTGCTTGGTAGGCAAACAAGGAGGTGATTCCATACTTAACCACTTTTCGTCCTGCATAATTTCACCATGCTTGACACTTGTGTCGTCCCCCCTTGCATTCTGCTATGCTTGGGTACTTGAGAGGTAGGCGAAAAAGCATGGCGGCACCAACCCTCCTTGGATGACTTCATGCTTGATACCCCAGTGCTTGACATGTGAGTGGCTAAGTCTCTACACTTAGTCAAATTTCATCCTTCTTACATGATGTCATGCTTGACACCTAATTCGGGCATAATTACACATCTTTTACCCCCCTTTTATCTTGATCGTTTGACTTGGAAATCGACGTCCCTCGACTTATTTTATGCTAGATTGTTCTATTTTTGTCACATTTAAGGTCCTAATACGTGTAGGAAGGTCAAATACAAGTTTCAGGTCAATTAGAGGTTGAAGCGCGCAAAAAAGTGAAGAAGAGGCCAAAACACGGCCTCACATGAAGATCATGGCCTCAGGCCGTAACCATTGCGAGGAGGGCGTGACTATTGCACGACTCCAGAAGGAAGCATATGTCTCTCGGGGCACTATTTACCATCACGGCCATAGGCCATGACCATAACAGTCAGGGCGTGACGTTGGAGCAATCCACATCGTTTTCAGGCGAGATTACGACCAGGTCACGACCGTGACCTGAGGCCGAGACACGCGCACTACTCATCTATAAAAGAGGCTGCTGCGGGGTTTGGAGAGGAGAGCTTGGTTTTTCTTTAGAGTTCCGACCCAAAGTACCCAAAGAGACATTTCTAGAGAGAGAGTGATCTTGAGAGATTTTGGAGCTTGATTGGAGGCTTGGGTTGTCTTGGATTCAAGAATTCAAGCCTAGAAGATGAAGATCTAGTGCCATTTTGTAATCTCTCTCTTCTCTCTATGAATTACTCCTCTTCACTTAGGTTGATGAACCCCAGGTCTAGATTTTGGTTTGGTGTTGATGTATGTGACAAATCCTATGTTTAACTGATCATTTTATTTAGTTAATGGATGTTTAACATGAATTTTCATGAGTTTGGATTCCATTTCATAGTGAATACCCGAGGGAGTCGATCTCCTAGTGGTAGATAAATTAAGTCTATAGAGCTAGGATGGTACGCAACATCGGTCCAAATGATGAAACTAGGGGGATTCAAGTTAAGACAGCTCCCATACCTGTGATTAGCTAGGATAGTGATTAATTAGGTTAGTTTCTTAATTGCTATTCTAGGTTGGCTACTTAACGAAATCTTAAGCCGAAGTAAGGTAAATCTAAAGACCCGTGTATCGGTATTTTTATTAATTGCTTACCCGATACTACATATGGCCGTCGGTTATACTTGGCCATCGATTAGGATGTGTAGTTAGAGTCGAGCCAAGTTTTTGGTTCTGTTGCCGGGGACATTCTACGTTATCGGGAAAAAGGCTTAGGTTGTTACTTTAACCGTTTTGTTGTTTGTTTGATTTTTTTTTTTTTGTATTTTTGTGTTTGTAGGTTGAATCATGGATCCCAATGACTTCTACAACATGTGTGGGTATCCACAACGACCCGAATGGGGGTACTCCAGAGCTACATGGAGTAATCAAGAGGGTGGAAGCCAAGGAACCGGGTTCTATGATCAACCTTCCTTCCAAGAAGAACAACCATGCTCATGGGATATCTAGAAGCTTCCACATACAAAGAAGATTTCCTTCCACAACCCGAGGTGAAATCCAAGGTGGAGTTGGCCATGTAGTCTTTCGTGGGGCATTCCTCGAGACCATGTGCCACTCCACAATTGGAGCTAAAGAGTGAATTGTAGCTGATCGTGGAGCAATTTTCATGGGGGCACCGAAGAAGGATGCTCTAATGCGGATTTTCCAGTCGTCAACCCTATCGACTCATCCTTCCTACGGACATCGAAGGAGATCTTTTGAAACACAGAGAGGTTAGGCAGGATTGTTGAGAAAGCATGTGCACAACTTGCTGAAAATCATCTCCTGCCATTTGAAGAAGGAGAGGACATCGAAGAGGCAAGCCATGAGAACTTTAGAAGATTACGCTCCAACATGTTTTCTAACCCCTCCCTCCTCCCGGTTTGACATTACAAGAAAAGGTGGCACGAGCTTGTGCAAGCCATCGCCTCTCCTCATGGGAGGAGAACGAGGACGTTGAAATGGCGATCAATGAAAACCGTGTGGAGCAGGATAACAATACCCCGAGTACCTCTTCTTATCTATTGATCTTTAGTTTAGGAATCGTCAACTGCCCACCTGCCAGACAACAGGTTGACTAGATAATGACCGAGCCTAAGTAGCCCAGGATACCGTGACCCTTGGAATATGACTGAGCCACTTTACCGCATCCCTAGCTAGGTTATACTTGGCCTTGTTAGGATTGATTAGTGAGAGTGCTTTGACTTTATAAATTTAAAGCTCGATTGAAGCAGCGATCAAATATATTTGGCGATATATTAACCATGAAGACCATAAACGGACTCAAAGCAAACCTAAATATGGGTTCTAAATAACACCATTTTAGGTGTTATCTAACTCCCCCACACTTCATCACACCTCCTGACCTTATGCTTTCTTCATCAATGCTCTCGAGAAACTTATGACAAATATGCTCAACTTCTTTTATCACATATACCAGCAACGAAAATAAGTTCATCCAATACGACAAGATACTAGTAAGAATTTATGACATCAACCGAACCTTTCCTGCCAGACTTAGAGATTTTACCCTCTAGCTTCTCACCCTCTCAGTTATTTGTTAATGAGGACCTTACAATCCCATCTCTTAGGGTTCCCCGTGATTAAAGGAACACGAAGAAAATGGACAAGTAAAAACCCCACTGGGAAACCAATATAGGTTGAAATAGTTTGCATTTCTTCCTTTAATATACCCCCACACAACATTTGAAGCTTCATAAGATTGCATTTCAGGCTTGGTAATAGATAATAACTCTCCAAAAGTCTACTTATCCCTGCTACAACTAGAATATAACCATTTGAAAACATTAACACGTCGTCTGCAAAGTCGAGATGAGTGAGAGCCAATGACTTACAATAAGGGTGATAAGGAATCAAAGAGAAGGAATAATACTATCACCAGCTCGCGATCTTGTCCATCAATTAAAAAAAAAATAAGAAAGAGAAGGAATCGAGTAACAAACAATTCAAAGAGGGATTATCATCTCTTTCACGGTAACTTGTTCCGACTTATGAGCAGCATCAAACATAGCTTTTGCTTTCTCATGGTGGACAGTCAAGAAGTCACTATGAAAGTAAGAATAAAAAGACACCTCTAAAAGTAGAAGGTTAAACCCTTTCATTGGGGCATCGATACTAGCATTTATTGCTTTCCATAAAGCTAATTAGTGTCAAACCAGAACAATCATGAGGGAGAGAGGAATAAATGGACTGCTACCCACCAAATTTATCCATGCATTTGAAGTGATTCTGCTGCTGCCACATACCAAAGATTCAGATAAGTAAGCCAACCAACCGTTCTTATCAAATAGAAAGAGAAAGGGTCACTGCTACCCTCCAAATTCTCATATATTTGAAGCGATTCTGCGACTACACGCTGCAGATAATAATATAAGCAAACGAACCATTCTTATATCATATAGAAAGAGAACATGTTGGATACTGAACACCAGCATAATATTTAGTTCAAAGCAGCTGAGGGAGACACCCCTATGTAAGAAACAAAGCCAAATGCACTTTGTTTAAAGCTGATATTATTCACATAAAATCGTGCAGTAGTCTACATAGTAGCTACAAGATGATGAAGCACGACGGTCCCCTTTCAGTATTTACAGAGTTTCCACCATATTTACAACAAAAGAATAGCAGACATAGACAGACTAGAAAATTACTCACACGCCTGCCCCCTTCAGTTATTTCCAGAAGAAAAAAGGCCACGGAATGTGCCCCCTTCCAACCATGTTATTATATTAGAAGTAGTAGGCTGAAAGTTCCACGGCTTCCACTGCTTCATTCGTCGTAGGGTCATGCCGATTGACGAGATTGAGACAAGATGATATCTTTTTTCATAACTTTTCTAGTTATTCTTAAGCTTCTCGTAGTATTTGACACATTATGCGTGTCTGGCATGTACTTTTGCACCGGAGATAACCAGAGTGACAGTTCTTCAGCATATAGCAGCAGTAAAAAGCAGGCACCTAGTGTCAGACATTACATAGTGAAGAGAGCTACTTATTGCTACCTGTACATTCGAGAATGTTCATGTTGTAAGGAATTAGAATTCAGCCTACAAATGCGAGTCAATTGTATGAGAGCCCTTACGAGCAGTCTATTCTAGTGAACAATCCTTGAAAGAAATAAAAAGAAGTCAGAGAAAGATGCACTCTTACCTTGAGAAAATCCACCAGGGATGTTGACAATTGCACCAATTGTAGTCTGCATTGAATCCTGAAACTCATTGCCTTTAGCATGACCATAACATGGGACAAGAATAGCAAAGCTGTTATCAGTGTCTTCATCACTCTGAAATCCAGGACCATGAGGCTCCAGCCAGCCAATTGAGTAATCAGAATCATCAAACTCTGAACTGAAAACACAACCACCATCGGATGGCACAAGGACCACATCATACTCCCGATCGATTCTCCTTTCTTCCCGGCTGTGCCATTTTCGCTTCACTCTTCCAGATGAGGAGGCCATACCTCGCCCCTTGGCCAATGGGAATCTCAATGTACCGGATTCCAACAAATCCGGATCCTGCCTTAAAGATGGCCCATTGGAGATTCTGGGCTCCCTAGACTTCCCACTCCATAACCACTGTGAGATATTTGTAGATGCCACTGCCATGTAGCTGAAACAGAAGTTCATGGGTTGAGGAATCAGAGGCGCCCCAAAGCTTCCTTCCAACTGTTAACAAAGCAAATAAGCATTCAACAACTGCAAAAGTAACACGAACGAAAACCAATGGACGATCAATCAAACCCTTGTGGAGTTCCCGTTCCTTTTATCATTTTACATCAAAGCCAAATGCCCCACATGGCTGGAAAAAATCCTAAAACTAGCAGCTTTTGATGATGCACAAGAGCACGATCAATGGATTTATACAAAGGGAATAGAACTAGTGTAAAAAAACAGAACTTCAAGATTGTCTAATCCATAAAATTCTCGAAACTTTTTGCAGTTTTCCCGTCAATCAAACACAAGTTTCGAAGTTACCCAGGCAACATTACAAAGTATACTTCTGAAACTCCATAGTGCGAAATACAATGAACCGAGACATACCCATCAATAGCGTCCACAAACAGAAGAATCCAAGCGTTGCCAGACAAGACCAATCACAAAACTGAAGGCCAAAAATGGGAAGAAACCAAAACAAACCCCAACCGAGAACTCAACCAACTAGGGAATTTCAGAATTTAGTGCAGAAAGGGGATAGTCATTGTTCAATTATTAAGAATGATACACATCAAGCGTAGATGAGCGTAAAAGTTGTTTGGCTTTCCTATCTTCCTAGGAAAAGAATGCGTGCGGGGAGAAAAAAAAAGAGCTCGTGACGTTGTGGGGAAAGAAATCCCAAAAACTGTAGATGCAAGTTTCTGAAATCAAACGCACGCGTTGAACTGAATCGAAAGCCGTGAGACTTGGAAAATCTAGTGCGAGATACCTTGAAATACTGAAGAAAGCAAGAAGGACCCAGATCAAAGAATGAGGAAAGAACCCTAATTTCCCGGAGAAGAAGAGGAAGAGGGGGAGGAAGATTGAATGGGACTGTTGCTTCCTTCTGTTTTGCTATGCTCTGTCCCAACTTACTTCTCCTGCCATTGAAATGATTTTCGTACAAATAAACGACGAATTGAAATTCCTCTGACAATAGATAAATAATTTTGAGGAAAATAAAATAAAATAATTGTAGCAAAGTGTGATTTGGCAGGGTGCTACTGCCGAAAGCCGAATATCAGAAGGAGGACTCCTAGTTTACGGAAGAAGGCTGTAACTCAACATGTGTACGGTTCTGATCCCTTATCGTGCTTTAAAAGCAGGGTTGGGATTTGGAGGGGAGAGGAGTTTTATTTAGATGCGAGTGTGGGTGATTGCAAGCGGAAACATGTGGCACTATCTGGTGCAACGAGATGGGGGAGCGCATGGCATTGCCTGGTCAGACTTGTGGTGGAGAGGAGACGAGGGTGACGTGGCATAGGATATGTCTGTTAGATTTGCATGTGTAATTTTCGGGGCCGGATAGCGTGACAACCCCTAAAGGAGTTGTCAATCTCGCTTCCCCCTTTCTAGCCCTCCGTCCCCCTATATCTCCATCTGACCGTTGATGATAGACAGGGGCAAAAAAGAGAGCTCCCACACTGGATCCGGCTTCCATTAGTTCTCTAACATCAGGTGGCGCGTTTTGAAAAGGCAAAGAAATTAATGGGGGAGAGAAATTAGCCACCCTCCCCGGCGAACCATTCATCTCCCCCAAACCGCCTGTTCGTTACTCCACTGAAACTCTTTTCCTCCGTCTTCCAACAAGGCATCCCCTTCCATCGTCTCCGATCATTTTTCTCAGCTTTTCTTGATAGCATCTCGTTCGGTCCCGTTTGATTGCGAAGACTTTGTGTCTTTTTCGATTCACTTCTGGTTGTCCTAACAAGTTTTTTTCTCCTTCTGGTTAAGCTCGTAGGCGAACATTCTTCGGTCGTCGTTCCTTTCTGCGGCCATGCAAACAATCACGGGTGAGGTTTCTTTACACCACTGCTTTTGTTTTCTGAATGCAACATTGGAATAAGCCACATGTAGGCATGTCTTTACTGTGCGGTGTGTTTGTTTGGTGTTGATATGATCCATTGGTAGTCTTGAATTCGTATAGTGCTAGTGGTAGTTGTGTTACTGGTACCCATAACATTGATACGCTAGTAGTGGCGGTTTAATGGAATGGTATAACTTGTTCTAGCTGTAGTGATAGTAATACCAATTGATTTGTACCAGTAACAATGAATTGATACGATTACACACGTATTGGTACGAGTACCACTTATGGGGGCTTCAGGTACCCGTTGTATTCGTTTCAGTATATGATTGGATGGTAGTTTTCTATTGGTACCAATTGTAATGGTAGTTGTGTTACTGGTACCAATGACAGTAGTATGCTAATAATAGTGGTAGTTTAATGGAATGACACAACTTGTTCTATCTGTAGTGGGACTGGTACCAATTGATTTGTAGTAGTACCACTGAAGGGTAACCAATACATACTGATTGGTACCAGTAACATTTTAGATTGTTAGTAGTAGTATTGTACCAGTAACATTCTACATTGCTAGTAGTAGTAGTACAGTACTTGTAGTGATATCATTTTAGAAGTGTGGATCTCAGTGACAAGATAACCCTCTTGAATTTTTGAGTAAAAATTCGTACCAAGCATTTTTTGTTGTTTCAGGAATGGCAGAACAAAGATCTCAGCTATATCATCCGGGAAAACACACAATCTGCTGGTTGTGCATCTCGACAGGTAGCAGTCCGCTTGGGGGACTCAAGTGATTCGGGTGCTGGACCTAGTAAAAACCGACCACGTGATGAGGAAACAAAGAGTCGCAACAAGAAGAAGAAGCAACGGACTGTAGCGTCAAGTCAAAGCACCTCTGGGAAGAAGTGCTGTCAGACTTCAATCATCGAGATTATGGAGGTCGGTATTTCGGATGAGAGGAAGGCGCTTATCAAGAAGGTTGGGCGGTATTTCGGATGAGAGGAAGGCGCTTATCAAGAAGGTTGGGCTAGGTTGTGTGTTGGATTTAAAGAGTAGCATAATTGCTTCATGTACTTTTCCAAGTATGAAGAAGTTTATGGGTATTTGTTGTCTTTAATTTGATCTTGGGCAAAGTACTTTTGCTTATATTGGCACAATTGGTTTGGTGTTTGATTGAAAAATTCAGTACCTTCTCCACTGGCTATAGAATATCCCTTCATTGGTACCAAATCAATGGTAATGGTACCAAATCAATAGTACTGATACCAAATTTATGCCACTGGTAACTAGGGATGGTAACAAAACCCGAACCCACGGGTACCCACCCGACCCAACCCGGTCAACGCGAGTAAAATCCATATTGACGGGTTTTGGACCGGGTTCGGGTTTAAACCCTTTCACTATTCACCGGGTTGGGTTTGGGTTTAGGTAAACCCGCCGCATGGGTACCCCTCCACACCCATATAATTAATTTTCCCAGTATATTTAATATTATAAACAACTAATCTTATTTATGTTTGTGGAGACATGTCCAATTTTTCTTTCTAATTGTGTAGAATGAAGTTGATGTTATCGAGCGAAGAGTGAAGAAACTTAATTGACAAGGAGGAAGAAGTTTTCAATTAATCATGTTATTTATGGATGATTTGTGATTTGCTTCAATTTTATTGAATTTTCTAGATTGGTGTTGAACAATTTGTATAGATAATTTGTGATTTGCTTGAATTTTCTAGAATGGTGTTTTATATATGGATAATTTGTATTGAGAGATTGATATTTTGACTTTAATTTTGATAGGAACTTGTTATTGTAAATTTTTTACGACAAAAACCATGGGTACCCATGAACCCGCGGATACCCAGCGGGTTAGGGGTGGGAAACGGGAAACGGGTATTTGGGTATACCCATACCCGTCCTTTTTTTTAGGGTTACGGGTACCCAAATACCCGTAATTTTTTTTACGGGATGAGATTTGGGATCATAAATTTTACAATGGGTATCCGTGGGTTACCCGTTAATACTCGTTTGGGTACTACGGGTACCCGTACTACCCGCCCATAGCCCAACACCATTCCCCAACTCTAGCCTAATCCGAGGTCCGAGCCCGACTCCATCCCCAGCCATCCAGCCCAGCTCTCTCCCCTGCCCTCTCCCATTCGGCATGCTGCTGGTGGCGGCTTTAGTTCAGGTTAGTGACGAGAAACTTAATTCCACAGTAGGTTTCTATCTTTCCCTTTTCATTATTAGTTGAGATAATAATTATCTAAAATGGTAGGGGTATTTTGTTATGAATTGGTCTTCAACGAAACTAGCTTTCTTAATATCTTTGTTTTGATAATTGAACTGCTACAACTCTCCCTCCAGTTTAGCCGAATGGTGTATGTGAATTCCAAATTTGCTATTGTGACGAAGGTTAACAGAAACTTGGTGTTGTTTCTAAGTGTTAGTAGGAATTGTTTGTGGGAACTTTGTCATTCTAGGAATTTATGGGTACCAACGGGTACCCGTTATCCGTCCCGTATGGGTAACGGGTACCCGTAAACCCGTATGGGTTTGGGACATGGGATGGAGTTACTCTCCAAATGGGAATGGGTACCCATATCAAACGGGACGGGTACCCAAACACGTCCCGTTGCCCACCTCTACAGCGGGTTGGGTTGGTTTGAGTTTTTCAAACTCAGTGGGTTTTACCCCAGATTTTTTTCACGGATAAACCCATGGGTTTGGGTTTGAGTTTGGTTTTTGAAAAACCCGACCCAACCCGACCCATTGCCATCCCTACTGGTAACCATTAGTAAGACTGGTACCAAATCAGTGGTACTCGTACCATTAATAAGAGTGGTACCAATTACTGCTACGTGTAACCATTACTAAGACTGGTACATAATCAGTGGTACTACTTACATTAATAAGAATGGTACCAAATTAATGGTACTGGTAACAATTACTGAAGACTGGTACCAGATCGGTGGTACAGGTACCATTACTAATACCAGTACCTAATTAATGGCACTTGTACCATTAATAGACTGGTACCGATTGAGTTTTACAGGTACAATTTTAATGGTAATGTCTCCACTGTAATGGTATTGGTACCAATGTAAATGACTATTGCTGGTATAACTTAAGTGATATTATCAAGTCACACTATTTACCCTCTTACCCGTATCCTACTACCACTAGGGAAGTACCAATAATTAACTACGACTAAATGACTACCACTAGATGACTCATGACTACGTGCCTACCACTAAATGAGTACCACTAGATGAATACCACTAGGGGACTTCCACTAGGTGACTATCCCTACAATAATACTACCACTATCTAACTTGAAACATAACTACTAGTACATTTTTGCCGAAACATTAGTTGTACCGATAGTAAAACAGTACAAATTCAAAGGAAGTCGTAACGACTTAGGGGTTAACCCTACCACCATTGTTGGCATCGACGCCATTCTCCGCCCCCCGTCGTCGTCGACATCAACGCGATCGTCTGGGTGCGGCATGAAATGGTCGTTCTTCTCCACGTCGAGGCCATATTGGACGTGGTCCGTGTTTTCGTCCTGTTCCGGATGATATTCGTTCACTAGCTCCTCCACTTCCAAAACGTCGTCAACATCCACCTTGCACACATCATCGCCTTTGACCGTCGGGTCCGCCTGCTCAGCTCCGGCCTCATATATATCCTTGTCGTTGCTTGTTAATGGGAGGTTCAGGTCGAACCCAAATAAACATGTAGGTTCAGAGCTCACCACCAGAGGCGATAAGGCACAGAGCGACCGAGCTGCTTCAACAAGTAAATCAAGCATCAAAGCGGGATGTGTTGGCAGCGAAAAATTCCCCGGTGAGGCGTAGACAGGAAGTCAGTTGGGAGCCACCGTTGAATACAGACGGATCGGTGATGAATGGCCAGGCTGCGGCAGGTGGTGTTTTGAGAGACGAGAGTGGCCGGATCCTGAAGGCTTTTGCAGGGAACGTTGGTGAAGCCTCCATCACTAGAGCTGAACTTGAAGGCATTGTGCAAGGATTACAGATGGCATGGAACGAGGGCTTCCGGCGAGTGGTGATCCAGACTGAATCACAAACTGCTATCCAGCTAATCGAAGGAGCAAAAGAAAGGCATCCCCACTTCTTGGCATTGCAATCAGCTCGTCTGCTTCTGGATAGGGAGTGGCAGGTTCGACTGGTGCATGTATTCGTGAAGGGAACTATGTAACAGATTATCTTGCCTCGGTGGGACATCGGCTGCCGCTTGGTTTCCACTTCAGAGAAGAACCGGATCCACTCCTGAATTATTGGATGTACTTTGATGTAATGGGGGTGGAAACTTCTCGCATGGTTAATGATTAACGGTTGGGGTGCCCGTAGTACTCCGTTTTTCCACCACAAAAAGTACTTTTCAAAAAAGCAGTTGAGTGTTTGGATGAAAAACTATTAGAAGTGCTTTTTAATATAATATGTTATGTAAAATTACTTAAAAGGATTTCTAATACATAATATGAATAAAAATTTAAAAAAATAAAAAATAGTCAAAATCGATCTTGTTAGATTCTTTTGTATAAAATAATTTTATTTTCAATTTTATTTTATTGTTTTCAAATGATATAAATGAAATAAAATTATATTGTCCAAAATAGAATTATACTGAACCTCCACCCCTACAAAGAACCTATATACTACACGACCAAGAAACAAAGTCGAACCTCATTACTGAGCATGAAGACAACAATAGAGCATGACGGGCCATAGAATGAGCCGCCTCTTTCTATTTCGAACAATGAAAAGAACCATTGAACCAACACTCTTAGCAAGTTGCGAACAAGTTTCCTATAGAATAACTCTTATCTTGACATCCGAAGTATCACGAGCTTGGAACTTGTTAATGATAGTTTTAGCATCCCACCGATGATTAGATGGTGCAACAGATGCATATGACATTCCTGGAGATAATCACATTGCGCCAAAGCTTTGAGGATGTAAGCATCTATATACTGTAATTCCTCTAAGCTAATGCAGCCACAATAGAACCCTAAGGCTCGAGAAGAATGAAAGTGGTAGTCCCCGAGTCTCCCAGTCTTGTAGTTGTATCAGAAATAACAGTGCATCTGATCGTCGTACCAGATGTAGAGTTGACGCAACTAAGAATGCTTGAAGAAGATGGAAGAGAGGGAGAGTGGTGAAGTAGTGCATTGACAGCCTTAGAAACCTGGTGACGGGATTGAGATGCCAAAGTGTGAAGTAGAATTTGCTTGCGATCAAAATGAACTCCGCATCTAATTTTCCAAAAATGTTAGAAGCAAACAGCCAACAAAATCATATACTCATAATCTAGTCCATCAACCCTGCTTAAAGAAAAGCAAACAAAACTCCCCAAAGGAACCCATTTCCCAGCCACTTATTTTTTCGGCCAAGTAAACCATATGTCATTCTATTGTCTCATCCTTCTGACTGCAAAACGTACAAAGAGGAGTTAGATCCAAACCTCGAGTCACCAAAACTTCATAAGTGAGTAGAGTTCGATGGAGACATTGCCACAAAAGAGTAGAAGCTTTAGCAGTAGCTTTCTCAACCGCTTCCAAATTCCTTGCTCAACAAGAGAGACATCGTGCTTTGAGGGTGGAGAACGATGATGCATAAAAGCCAGATGGTACGCTAATTTAACTAAAAAGTTATCAGTCGGTTCAAGATGCCAGATAAGCAGGTATTGAACATGCCGCCTTGGGAGAGGAATGCCCAAAATGATTGTTACATCCGTTTATGAAAAAAAATGTTGAACAACCTGTCGATTCCATGTCTAAGATCCCGGATCAATTAGAGCGGAGAAAAATGGAGAAGAAGGAAAAATCTTGGCCACGAAAGAGGGACTGACGACATAGTCGTTGGGAGCCAAGGATTAGAGAAAGCAATGATGGTGTGAATGTTTCCTACTCGCCAGCCAATTCCTTTTAGAAGGTCTCTGCCAAAGATAACACTTCGTCACCCCCAAGAAGAATTCGCTCCAGCGTGACCCGGCAGATAATCCGATGATGATAAAAAAATATTTAGCACGTTAAATACAAGGTAGAAGCAACATTGGTTCCATCAGCACACACCATGCACCTTGGCTAACAAAGCTTGATTGAAACAACTAAAATCTATGAAACCTAGCAATCCTCTACTTCCATAATCTTTTGTCTTCCGAAGCACCTGAAGTCGGGTTATTGCGGTTATCCTATGACTTACTAATCTTGTCACTCCTCCCCTGAACAACTCATTTTCCATTTTGAGATGAGATTCAAGATATTACTTTTAGCAAAGTGGGCTATCAAGCACCCGATTCTTATGGATTTACATGCATCTCTTTCCCACCTTTATGGGGCACCGTTGGAGAATATGTGATCGTTGCAATATTGAAATAGAAGGTTATGCATTTCTTGAAGACTAAATCTCCAGGTCGAGATAAATGGACGACATTGAAGGTAGATATGGAGAAAGCATATGATTATGTTAAAGGATGGTTTTTTCTAGGTTATGCGATAAATATGTTTCTATGAACAGTTGGTTAATTGGATGTATGCTTGTGTTCACAATGTTTCGTTTTCCGATTTAATTAAATGTTGTTGTGTCTCTTAACTTACTCCATGCTCTTAAGTTCCATCATCGATGTCCGACAATCTCTCATCTTTCATTTCTAGATGCTTCATACTTTTTCCTTCACGCTTCCTCCGGGAATGCAATAACCTTCTTGGATTACTTGATTATTTTCATGTTGAGCGGTCAAAAGTTGAATCATCATAAGTCAACTGCCTCTTTCGGCTCTGACATGACTATTGTCAAAGCCAATGCTATTGTCTCTCGTCATGGGTTTAAGAAGGTGGTGAGAAGGATCGGTACCTTGGCCTTTCTGCTTGTATCTCTCATTTGAAACAAGATACTTTCTTCTAGAAGGACAGTTTGGTTTAAAAACTTCATAATTGGAATTTCCCTAGGCACTGTCCCCAATCCTCCTTCCTGTTAGCCTCCCCTAGGCAGGTCCTTCTTGGGCATGGTAGGGCATTCTTTAGGGTAAAAATTTACTTATACATGGTAATTGTTGACCAATGGGTTCAGCTCCTTCAGTTATATCACATACAATGTTTGACTGCCCACGTTCCGTTCATCTTGTTCTCATTTCCTTGCCAATGTCAAGTTGTTGTTTCCATAGGTGTCATCACTAATCCAACATGCAACTCGGTCATGGTAGTAGCCTCTTCTTCTGTGCTTGTTTGATGCTGAATGTGAATGTGATTTATTTCATTCCTTTTCCAGTTGTAGATCGCATTATTTGTCTCTAAAAAACCTCAGGTGAGTACACTGCATGTGAAATCTGGATACTCTATTGCTTCTACTAACTTTGTGCCTTTTATGTGTTGTCCCTATTCCCCTACACTTAAGTTCTAATTGATAAGCATCATCTAATTGATCCACAAATGAAGATGTTTGTAAGTGCTTGATTTCTCTAGAGGTTGCATAATCTCTCTTGCTTTGTTTTTTGTATTGTGAGTTGATGTCTCGTTGTTGAATTTATCTGGGTTATGCCATATTTTACAGAGGATATGATAGAAACACGGTTTTTGTGTTCTGTCATATTTATCATTTTTAATATAATTAGAGTAATTATTAATATGGTTAGTAATCTTTTAGTAGAATTAGGTTTATTATTAGGGCATTGCTATTCGTCGCCCTAAATTACCTTATTCGTCGCCCTAATTTTTATTAAAATGACTCAAATATCCTTAGTTTAGTTTGTATCTCATCTCTATTTCCTATTTTCAGAGGACTTTCCATATCCGGGGTTTTTTCGTAACCGCCGTTGGAACCAGCGGATGGATTGAAAACTCATTTCCGGCGAGTTGAGAACAGGTCGGCTTTCTTGATGGTCGGTTGGCTGAATCCCTTTCCCCCTTCCCTTCCAATTATATGATATGCATAAGCAAATAGCTAATGTGGACGGCTGCAACTGCAAAGCATAAAGTTGTATTTTTCCCCTAATGAATATAAAGTTGTCTTTCTCCAATGGAATCAGAGTCCTCTTACTGCGAATGGTTTAACCAAGAAAAAGAATTCTAAGGAATCCAAAGACATTATTTAATGAATCATATATACAGAGAGATCCAAGTCTTTGACCACTCTTTATCATATTGCACATATATTTAATCAGTAGAATCTGGCAGCAACAGTAGAATCCGGCGGTGGTCAGCTGTTGGCGAGAGGAATCTGGCAGCGGCAGCAGCGAGCGGAGGATAGAGGAGCTCGGCGATGGCTGGCAGGGTAAGAGACTGTTCGTAGGTTTTGGTTAGAAATTGAGACAGGAGGGTAAAAGGGTCAATTATGTGCATTTTAGGGCGACAAACTTTGAATTTTAGGGCGACGAATAGCAATTCAGTATCATTAGGGTTTCCTAGTAATTCTCTATATATATTTGTACTTTGACTCTCTCGTGAGATTAAGCAGAAGTTAATAAAAGAATTATCTTCCCAAACCCTAAGTTATCCCTAGCTCCTAATTTCTCTTCTTCCCTAGTCCAAGGTTTCGGCCGATTCGTATTCTGTTCTTCCTCCCCTAATTCCCCATCTCAATCCCTAATTTTGTTCGTATAAACCCTAATCCCCAAATATCAAGCCGATAGTCACCTTGTTTCTATCATTTGGTATCAGAGCCATGGTCGAAAAGCTGAGTTCGTCACAACCCTTAGTCGGGGACCACTATGGCGTGTTGCACGAGCGCCTTTGCAAGCTGAAAGCCCTCATAGCCAAACAAAATGCAGAACGGGAGTGGCAGAAGGCCGAAGGGGAGCGGCGGGACGCAGAGCTCACACGACTCCTAGCCGTGATTAGCAGAAAGAGCCGATCCTCCAATACCGCTGCTACAACGCCGCCACCACCTGCGGCATAAATCAATGCCGTATGGTCCCCATCTATAGTAGAAGAAGATCATGCCGCCATCACAAGCACCGTCACCACCGTCGTAACCTCGGAGTCACGAGAACCGAGGCTGGCTGTGGCTTCTGTCCTCGGAGAAGAAGCTATGGCGGCTGCTGCGCCAACACGTGCGGAAGCCATGACGATGGTGTCATCACCACCCACCACCGCCATCTCCATTCCAACGACAACCACCACGAAGTTAGCCAAGGAGATTGTCGCGGAGCCTATCATCACCATCGAGCAGCCATCAATTGTCGTTGCTCCTCTCAAGATAAACGCCGCTGAGTCAATCTTCCCATCGGTCGTCGTCGTTCTGAAGAGCCAGGCAGTCGCAAGCCTTGGCAAAGATAGCTTGAAAGGGATCCCAGCTCGCGTCGCGAACTGGAGATTTCGGAAGAAGTGGTGGTCCGACGAAGCCAAGCCGTCGACCCGCGTGTCGACCACCACCGCCTTCTCGACCGCGTCGTTCCAGGCCTCAACCCAGGAGAAGAGAATCCCCGCCATGCCCCAAATGGTCGCCATCGCTGCGAGAAGGAGCTTGCAGATCCATCCGCTGGGGACGGAGTTCAGGGTCGGCCACCACCGTCAACGCAAAGCCTCGAAGGAGGAGAGTCGCGTCGAAACCAAGCCCCGACATAGAACAGAGGAGGCCAGGGATCACTGAGCCAGGGCCGGCCAAGAGGGTGTGCCGGCCCGCCCTCCGGCACAGGGCCTTTGAATATTAGGGGCCTCCACTCAAATTCGTTAGTTACCGATCGAATATTGCAGGTTATTTTTTTAGTGTATGATTGATAGATTATGAATATGATGACGAATTTAATAGATAATTTTAGCTATAATAACAATTGAAAAAGATCTCATGGAGAATATGAAAATAAGAGAGATAATAGATAATTTTAATTTAAACAATAAAGAAAGATATTACATTTTGAATAATGGTATTATAATCATTTTAGTTTTATTATAGTTAAAAGTCAATTTGGATAATGTCTCAATTTTAGAATAGGGCCTACACGATCCATTAGATAGACCCGCACCCACCTCTTGATCAATTTATATTATTTTCATTTCTCCATTCAATTTTTGCTCTATATCCATTTTCTGTTCCCTCCAGATTTACTTTTCTCCCTCCATGCTAGGAGTGAGAATTTGGTCTTGGTTTCTTGGTCAAACAGGAAGTAAGATTGTTTATTCATTTTAAATTTATGAACTTATGTACTTTATAATTATTTAATAAATTTTATTTTTAATAAATTTATTGTGAAAAAAATTAGGGGCCACATGTTAAATTTTCGAACAGGGCCTCCAAATATCATAGGACGGCTCTGCACTGAGCCATCTCGCCATCGACGCGAAATGCGCGAGGTTTGCTGGCAGCCACCCTTGTGACGACGAAGACCAGGAAGGTGGAGTCAGAGAAGAAGATGAAGGAAGTGCGGCCGTCGAGGAAGAAATCGCCGCTGAAGGAAATGAAGCAGATGAGGGTGGCTTCCTTAGTGACGAGAGCGGAGCAGGAGATGCGCGATGTTGCTCAGCCTCTGGCTTTCACTCGTCCGGAGCGCCACCCACTGCCGGAGATGGAGCAGCCGACAATTGCGAAGAAGCAGGGTGGTGGGGATGTCCCTGCTGCCGCATACCTTGGGTCGCCTAGGGTTACACGAGCGGATCAACAAGGAGAAACTCGGTTGGGTCGGGTTCACTGGACTGAGTGGACCGTGATGCCAAGGGGAGCAGGCCGAGTCGGCCTGGGATTCGGGCCACGACCAAGAAAGAAGTGGCCCAAGGGAGAGAAGTCCGGTGGTGGACTAGCTGCACATAATCTGAGCGATCAAGGGAACAGGAGGATCACAACGAGTGCATTCAGTTCTGACCGGATTGCATGGACAAACCATCGGGGATCGGGCCAAAGTGAGGAGTTGGAGTTTTGGTTTCCACTTCAAAGCTCAATCACATGACCCATGCATCCCTGCAACAAGTTCATTGCCGAGGGCCGAGGGAGTATCGCCGAGTGTGGGAGATCAAGGTGAGCTGGACAGAAACTCCAAAGAAGATATATGTTTGTTTAAATTGTCATGTCCCGTGGGACTTGTTTACAGGTGGAAGAGTGGGGAATATGGAGATACTACCTGGTGGTTTTTCTTGGGGCAGTAGTTGGAGTTGATGGGAAAATCTTGGTCGAAATTGGCGGAAAGAATGCACAGTTCAAGCTTGGGTGGCAAGCTCAAGGAGATGATTCGAGGGGTGTTAGCTCCATTATAGGAGTAAAATCACATGGATGGGAGTTAGGAGTGGGTACTGGCAGCGAAAGGGTCATCGTCTTTGTCAAAGGGAAAATGATAGATCCTATGCTAGAAGGTGTTTTCGGAGCAACAAGAAGGTGGATCCTATGCTAGAAGGTGTTTTCTAGGGATGGCAGGCCCGGACCCAAATCCGAGTATCCGCCCGAAGCCCGCTCGATAGTGGCCCAGCTGGTTCTGGATCTATGGCCCGTCAACGGGTGGCGGGTGACCCGAAACCCGTCAACCATGGTTTTCGGGTGGTGATGGTTAGCTCAGTATCCGCCCCGTGACCCGCCCCGCGGCCAGCCCGACGGTTTAACCGTGTACAAAACGACGGCGTTCCAAGGGGGATATATAAACTCTCAGTTCCCTTGGAGAAACCCTAGCAGCCGCCTCATTTTCATTCTTCACCAAAATTTCCAGAAACCCTAGTTCCCTTTTTCTCTCTGCCTCCTCTCTGGCGATTAGCGATCAGATCGCTAGATAACCGCGATCTGGCCGATTTTTCGTCATTTTCCCTCATCAAATCCTCCATTCGACCAATTGCATGGCTCATAGAGCCACCATCCGACGAAGATTTCGTCGGTCGCAGTCCAAAAACGATTCGTTGCCTCGTTGGAAGTTCCAATAGCTGATTCTTCGAGAAAAGATAAGTTATTTCTGCCTTTTCTGGGTTTCTTATCTTTTCTTTCAAGAATCTTCCCTGATTCCTCGTTCCCCTAAGACCCTAACTCTCTACTGAGTACTGACTCTTCTTGTACTTGTATATATGGGGGGATTCAGGTGGCAGAGCTCGTTTCTCACCACGCCATCTTCTGAGTTCTGAAATCGAGAACAAGAACACCCCAGTCGATTCAATAGAGAGCAGAGACCGAGGGATTTAGCCCACCGCCCGAGCCTCCAGACAGAGTCCAGGGTAAGTTTCTTGATCTCGTCTATAATTTTTAAGATTTATGGGTTAGTGGTCTCATAATACAGACATGCATGCATTAAATTCCAGTTCTTCTACCTTGCTTTGTGTTTTTTGTTCACTGACTCTTCTTGTTCGCTCTTGTTTGGGCTAGGTTGGTCACTTGGTCTCGTTTGGAACTTTGGATCTGGTTTACTGGTTTAGAGAACTGAAGCAGAACAGAGTCAGTGAGCAGTGAGGAGCAGTCTACTGTCATTGGGTTCTCGACAGTCCACATAAAACTCCAATCCGAGAAGGTAATCCCAGTCCTCTCCTAACTCCTAAATCATAATCCTCAACTCACTGTGTGTGACTGTTTGTTAGACCCTCACCGGAGCAGGCTGCATTATTCGACTGTGGAGGCAATGATGTGTACTAGGAGTTGGATAATGGAGGACATGCAACGAGGTAAAATGCAACTAAATCTCTCAACTTTATTGGTTTACGTTTTAGAATAGTATGAACTCATTCAACTGGTTCTTTGCAGATTCGGAGGCTGCTGTGGAGGGATTGGATGGACTCTTCTCAACAATGACACTCGAAGATACAAGTGTGGAAGAGGCAGAACCTGGTGGTAAGATCAATAATTCATTTTTCCATTATGTGTTCTAATTTCTATTACTTCATTAAGGAATACTTACATTTGCATTGTTTCGCTTTTTCAAGTCCAGAACTCACCTTAATGAGATCACCATTTGCCCATGAAGACTGATTGGTAATCTGCTGTGGGACCAAGGTAAATGTTTTTTGTATTTGTTGTCGTTGATGCATTATTCATTTTAGTCTTTACTAAGTACTAACTGAAGCATTCCTCTTGTGTGTACTTTATTCAGTTTCAATTGATGATTGCTGGTCTGCTGGTTTACATCGATTGGAATGAGGGTCAGGGGTGGTCGGGTGGATGATTCTCAATGATTCAATGTTGCTGGAACCTAGATGGAATGTTGCTGCGTTGCTGTTGCTTCTTGCTTGAACTATTTCAGTCTACTGTTTTTGCCTTTTTGGACAAGAATTAGACATTTAGATTTTGGGAACGTCTTTGTTTGGTGTTTGGTTGATTTGATTTGATAATTTCTATCACAAACACGAAACAGATGTTGTTTTTGGTTGTTGTTGCTTAGCTGCTTGGCTTGGCAAGCTTTCAGTTGTTTATTTCAGGTCTTTTTAACAGACCAGTCAGATTGAATAAAGTATCCAGTTTCCAGAATTTTTTTTGTCATTTCCATCTTTATTTATTTTCATGGTTTGGTAGCGGGTATTCTAGACCCGCGGGCACCCGATTAACCATTGGGGCCGGAGATGGTTATCCATCCAGGCCCGCAAGTCCGCTTGGGCCGGGGACGGGGATACCCGAGGCCCATGGTGGGCGGGCAACGGATCGAAATTACCCGGCCCCGATCCGCCCCGTTGCCACCCCTAGTGTTTTCGGAGCAACAAGAAGGTGGAATTATTTGATGGAGTTTGAAGTGAGGAACATGGACTCATTGGACCAGGGTCGTGGTGATGATGACTTGCACTTCTTAGCAGGAGGATCGATGGAAGCTGGAGTTGCTTTTAATGGAGGCGCTTGTAAACTTGAACGTAATTGGAAGAAAAGAAGGCAGAAGGAAGGGAGTTCTCGACGCGTTGATTGCAGGAGGAAGATAAAAGAGTGGGTCAACTCGGTCAACCTTGAGGTTGAATTCAAGGGGGAGGAGATGATAGAAACACGGTTTCTGTGTTCTGTCATATTTATCATTTTTAATATAATTAGAGTAATTATTAATATGGTTAGTAGTCTTTTAGTAGAATTAGGTTTATTATTAGGGTTTCCTAGTAATTCCCTATATATATTTGTACTTTGACTCTCTCGTGAGATTAAGCAAAAGTTAATAAAAGAATTATCTTCACAAACCCTAAGTTCTCCCTAGCTCCTAATTTCTCTTCTTCCCTAGTTCAAGATTTCGGCCGATTCTTATTTTGTTCTTCCTCCCCTAATTCCCCATCTCAATCCCTAATTCTGTTCGTATAAACCCTAATCCCCAAATATCAAGCCGATAGTCACCTTGTTTCTATCAGGATACAAGAAATGCATATTACTTTGGGCTTGCAGTGGTTGCTGTTGGATGCAGGTCTTCGTCGATAAGAGTTAGCTCGTGTGCTTTCCTATATTAGTGAATCTGGAAAGGATGATGTTTTGCCTCATGCCCTCATCCCAATTCATCCAAAATCTATTCTACCTCATGTTTTATTGCGCCAGTTTGATGTACAAATAACAAAATGAGAGGCTGCTCAAGCTATGTTTGCCAACTATATTCGTAGACCTCGTTCGAGTAACGAGGGAGCTGCATCCCAAGCACCCATTCCCCCCCACCCATCCCTCGACATGCCATTCTGGTCAATTCGACGAGAAATCGAGTTTTCGGTTGAAAGGGTGATTGACTTTGTCAACTTCTCATGTGAATGTGTTATCACACATTTACTAATCTCAGTGACCGAATGTGTTATCACATTTAGTCACCGTCCAACTCCAGTCACTCGAATTACTGAAACATGTCACATTTTGTCACTCGAACTACTGAAACATGTCACATTTAGTCACTCTCCCATTAGTTTTCGTCCAACTGGATTTAGACGAAAACTAACGGGAGAGTGACTAAATGTGACATGTTTCAGTAATTCGAGTGACCAAAATTGATATTAAATTTTTCTAGTGATCTAAACGTGACACGATTTAGTAATTTCAGTGACCAAATGTAGCATTTACTCTTCTTTTAAACACTAATATGATTTCTTCTCCGATCCTTTCATGATTGAACTAATAGATGTTGGTTATTTACTTGAGCACTTCTACTATGCTATATTGTATTGGTGCTTTAATGTACAACTTGAAGTTGTACCATAACATTAAATGTACAAGTTTATGTGGTACCATAAAGGAATTTGTATCATTATGTTATGGTACAACTTTACAACTTGAAGTTGTGTCATTAAGGTACAAGTTTAAGTTGTAGCATAAAAGAATTTGTACAAAAAGTATAGGTACAATCTGAAGTTGTACCATAACATTAAAGGTACAATTTCAAGTTGTACCATAAAGGTAAAATCCTATAGCATCAATGCTATATAGTATTGTAAAATTTATATATTTACTAATGTCTTATTTTTGTGGTGATGTTCAGATCGTCATCCGAAAGCTCATTGTTAAAGATTTTTCTCATGTAGTGGCGGTCAGCAACATAGCCAAATTGCATCCCAGTGAACAAAAGCTTAGTTCAGCTTCAACATGAAAATGAGGATCTCGAGTTCAAATCCCTCTAGCACCTAATAGTAAAAACAAACATGTCACCTTTGAAAAATTGCTTTTGCATCCAACCAATTACCAATACCTGACACTTTTCATGAATTTGGAAATTACATTAATTCCGGGAAAGGCACCTCCTGCAATGGATCAACAAGCAAACACACTCATTTCCTTGGTCACCTCCCAACCTTAAATTCTCTCAAGTCTCAAACAACACACACGAATCTGGAAGACTACAACGCTGTAATTGATTCCTTTTCTGTTTTTTCGTGGGTCGACTGCCATTGCCTTTCGTCTCACAACAATTTATGAATGGCCTGAAGCAAGAAGCCTCAAGAATCAATTTTTGTGGTAATCACTTGGTCAGAATTTGGTGCTCTTCTGTGTTCGAGGATCTTACTTCCCGATCACGGCAGACCGCATGGCCCTTGTCAACTTCCTAAACATATCTGGTGGAGCAGCACCAGTTTTATCAGCAACCGGTTTCAGGCTTTCCGGGTTACCTGTTGGTTGCTCCATTTCAAGATGCGTGGATGCCTTCTCCATCTTGGTTTCCTCTTCAGACTTGCAACCCTAAGCACACAGAAACCCGTGGTCAACAAATGTCAGTTTCACGAAGGAAACGATTTATGGGAAAATGGAGCATGGCACTTTTACTTGCTGCATATAGAATAAGTTGCATGGAAGGGGGGGGGGGGGGAAATGGTGTGCGGATGTGAAAAATGGTTTGAGTTGCTTGAATCAAGGACAAATGGTGTCACCAAGATGATTTGCCTGCGAGATGGCTACTAATGCATGAATGTTGGTTGGTTGACGTGGATAAATATCATGTTCCAATTTGTTTTTGGAACACGAAACGACATTGAACCTTACTCTTTCACGAGATAGAGGACAAGAGAAGTAGAAAACGTTAGGAGTACCTGAACATTTCCGATTTCAGAAAAGGGCTGTCTTTCCGTCACTAGATTGGGAGATGTCGCATCCGACGTATTCTCGCTGCCTGAAGAATGGACCAAGTCCTGAGCTATGACTGATGGCAGTGAGCTATCCTTCTTGGCCAAACGCTTCCCATTTGTGCACTTTGCAATTGAACAACGACAGCCTTCACCACAACCTCCCTTAGCAGCTCGGCATTGGCACTTATTTGTCTTGCACAGTGAGTTTTTACTGCAAGAGCAGCATCCTCCTTGTGCGGATTTCACCCTAGTGGGGACATTATCAGAAGTTTCTGAATCCACTGCGGGTGTCTCGAACAACACAGAACGACTCAAATCCTGATCATTCAAGGCCACCACAGTTGAATATGATTGTAAATTTGTGCTCATTATAGGGGCGAATAACACAGTTTTCTCAGTTGTACCAACATTCAGCTCAGTTAAACCCACCTGTGGTTTTGTTGAGTGAACAGGCCGTGCCCTTACTATTGGCATCTGGTTCACCATGGTACTTAGTTTGAACACTTCTTCTTTTAAGTCTCTCAACTCTGAATCTCTAGCCATGCAGTCGTTTTCTTTATCCTGCAACATGAACCTAAAGCAAATGCCCTAAATACCAGTTCAGTAAACCGCACAAGTATACAAGAGGCTTGAATAGTGCAAACACTTAAACTCATGGTTTATTTCCCTCTAGTCGCACCTGAAATTCTCTTGCCTTAGCATCTCAGCTTCTTCCTCATATTTCTTTACTTCTTCTGCCATCCTGTAACAGTTAATTAACTTGCAATTAGTTGAAGAATAGAAACATATTCAGAAAATTACAAGATGAAAACTCCGGGCAAGTAGATTGGATATTCCTGAAATTAATAAATCATCATTACGATAGTTGATTTATTCTCTTGGTTGCATCACTTTTTGACTAAATGCCCAAAGCATTTCCAGAATGCAATGAACAATAGACAAAGTAACTCATTTTCGTGTTGATGCTCAGCCAATGGAATTATATAACTTCACCAATTCATGGATACCAAGTATCTAGGACATTTTTTTTATCAGTAAATCCAATAATCTTGGCCTTCATAAAGCTATAAGGACTTACTCTTCCATTTGACGCTCAAAGTCGCAGCGTATGTCTTCTACCCTTTCCGTAACTTTCAGCTCAATCTCAAGGGCCTGCTTACATGTTGTCACGTCAAAGAAATGATAAATGATTAGCAAATCCAGCGAGGATGAACACATATGCACCAATCCGTTGAACCCAGACAAAGTATAGATCGACCCTTTGCAAGTTGACAGCTGTTAGTTTTTGGACATAAAATAGCCATGGAGGATACCCCTTGGTTTATACAAAAATCTACACATTAAATTTTCTTTTAAATGAACCATGACATGGTTTGGCCCTAAAACGAACAGAAATTTGGTTAAACCAAAGTCTGACTCAAGCTCAAAAAGAGGAAAGGCTGTTTGGCCACTTAAATGTGCTCTGACTTTGAAATCGTTTGACAAAGTTACTATGCCTCGAAGGAGCATATCCCACAATTTATATTCTCTAGTTCTGACAGTAGTTTAGCTAAAAACAATTCATCATCTAAAATTGAAAAATACAGTAGCATGAAGTCTAAGTTCATAACTAGACTTGCATCATACACCCACCAACTCCAATCTCAATGTAATCGTGCCATCACAGTTCATTTTGATATGGCCTCATTCACCCACTAAGCCAACTACCTGGAGCTCTGAACAAGAAATAGCAATTTGCTCGTCTAAATTTGAGAATGTATACCTGACTTCCAGGACTCCCGTCTTTCTGAGACCCTGAATAAAGTTTACAAAGGAACAGGAATTAGATACAAAGGAAAATGAAAACAAGCACGGAAATTGATTGAGTAATGATCTGCAGACCTGAACTTCTTTGAGATGAAGACTTCCTATATTGTAAGAACTCATTAAGTTTCCTTGTTGCTGCAGAAGCTTCCTCTTGTTTCCTCTGTAGTACCTGAATTCACACCAGTAGCATCAAAAGATCACCACAATGTCATGGAAACGTATAGGAACATAAGATTCTAAAATTTCCGAAGAAGAATAACTTGCCAGCTTTTGCCTGCTGGTTAGAGCCAATAGCTTGCGTATCTCATATTCATTCTTCCTCTGGTCTTTCTTAAGCTGTCACAATGAAAAACTTTTCGTGTGAGAAGATAGTATTCACCAATTCTAGATCATGCATGTTACATAAAACTTACTGGAAAGCACATAACATTCTAGCTTATGGTTGCTCACAATTATCTACCAAAACATAACACAGTCCGGAACTCGGAAGCACAAACAACTAATTCACGATATGTCAACGAAAGTACCGCAAAGCAAGGAATATCAAAAGATTCAGAATACATCTCATATCGAAACTTCAACATCAAGGAAAAGAATTAGTAAAAGAACAGGTACATGCCTGGAGAACGTCTTTCTCTAGTGAAGCTTTTGACAGCCTGAATTGCACAGAGTCCAGCTTGATCTTGCAGAGAAGTTGGACCTTGACGCAGACATCCGCAGAAGCAAATAATTAGTCTCATGTTCAAATGGGTAACAAAGCCAGTGGTTGCTTCATTCTACCTTTTGAGCCTTCAATCTCTGGATCACATCCTCTGGCTGTCGCCCTGCTGTCTTTTGCTTTTGAGTTGAAAACTGAGATTGAGCATTGAGTTTCTTCTTCAAATCCATAGCCTGAAAAAATGAAATAACAGTTCATATCTGTATAAAGGAACGCAGCTTCAGACAATTGTTAGCTGTGGATGAAATCCAACCTGTTCATCAAGAATGCGCAGCTTTTCGAGCGCGCCTTCATAAAGCTTCTGAATCTTGCCATCTGAAGCTGGGGAATCGTTTCCCAGCCTGTGCTTCAATTCCTCGACCTCTTTCTACCAATCAAAATAGACGTCGGTAAAACTTGAGAAATGATTATGAAAACCACGAGTCCACCACCAACAAGCATCATTGATGTGTACGAGAAAACCTATTTCCTTTAGATTTCCCTAGTTCTTCTTTGAACCCAAACAAATTTAATCGGTAGAGCATGCGAGGAAGGCTTTAAACGGACGCCCTAAACCCAACTACTACAGTCCACAAACCATTTCCACATTCGAATTCGAATTTCACAATTACGAATCGCGGTTGACAGTCGAATGCAAACTTTGAGCAAAGAAAAAGCAAATCCTTACTGGAAGTCAGCACCAGTAATGAGAACTCACCCTTAGATCCTGGTTTTCCCTCTCCAAATCGTGGATCCTACTCTCGTGATTCTGCTGCGGCTGCGGCTGCTTGTCGCTGTCCCCACACTTAGATGGTGATGGAGAGTCGGTGGCGCCGGCGCGCTTTGTTCGGCGGTTGCCCCTCTTCATTCTTCCGGTGATGGAGGAGAAGAGATCTAGACAATGGATGGCGAGAGATGGCGAGAGATGGCGAGAGACAACTGCGGTTCAGGGATGTCAGAAAGTGGTGTTCATTTTGAATTTTTCGTCTTTTTGCTTTCCCTCTCTTCTTTTGCGTAAAGCCGTTAGCCCGTTACTAAACGTTCACTTATTCTTTTTTTTCTTTTTTCGTTTTATAGAAACTAGGGCTGGCCATTCGGTTATCGGTTGCCGGTTAACCGGCGGTTACCGGTTAACCGATAACCGAAAAATAGAGGCCGCGGGCGGTTGGCGGTAGAAGGGTTGGGAAGGCCGGTTAACCGGATAACCGACGTAAATAATCGCCGGTTAAACCGACTAACCGGCGCATCCTCACCCTCCCCAAAACGCCGCCGTATGTGTGATGTGTCTGTCTCCTCCTAACCCTAACCATCGCGAATTCGCCAGCCATCCTTCGCCTTCCACAGTCGGCAGAAATGCAGCACAGCGGAATCCTCCCACAGCAGTCTCCTGCCGCCGCCGCGCCGCCCTCACTCTCCCCGACGCCGCGCCTGCCCCATTCTCCCTTCTCACTCCCAGCAACCGCCAATCCGCCATCGCCACTCCTCTGCTCGCCACTTTGGGCAAGAAAATTGCTTCCGCCATCGCCACTCCTCTGCGATTGAATCCGCCATCGCCACTCCTCCGCCTTCTTCTCCAACTCCCTCATCTCTTCGATCTCCTTCACTCTCTTCCTCATCTCCTTCTCCCAATCAAACGAATCCTCTTCTCCCTCCTCGCCGTTCCCGTTCCCATTATCCTCGTCGTTGTCGAAATCCACCCCGTTCACCTTCGAATTCTCCTTCCCTCGAACCACGAATCTCTGATTCCTCGCTTCCCCTTTTGATTCGAAGCCCTTCCCCCCGGCCAGAGAAGAAGAAGCATGGACGTTGCTGGAACCGGTGAGATGATGAAGCTCCCGACATGGGAGGGGAGGGCAGAGCAGACGGATCGGCAGGCGACGATTTCGCGGAGGGTGAGGGAGGAGAAGATCTGGTGGAGCGTCTCTGGGGGGGAGATTGTTAATCGGAGATTCGTCAATTTTGGCGGCAGCGGAGGGAATCAGAGAAATGGAAGGCAGAGGAGATGGGGAAAAGGCGGATGATTTGGGTGTATGAAGTTTTGCCGGCGGTGGGGGAGTTTGAAAAGGAAGATTTGGTTACCAGAGAATCAGAAAATCAGCCTCCTCTCCTCACCCTCGCTCCCCATCTCCGCAGCTTTCCTCTTCTTCTTCTTCTCCTTCTTTTTCTTTTCCTTCTTCTCCGAATACCCGTCTGGTCGGTTACCACGGTTAACCGAGCAACTAACCGGTAACCGACCGGTCGGTTACCGGCTAACCGATGGCTTCCGTCGGGCGGTTGGCGGTAGACAAGGCCGGCGTCACGGTTAATCGGTAACCGACATTTCGGTTATAACCGATCTAACCGAAAATCCAGCCCTAATAGAAACCATGATTGTGTTTGATGTCTTTGACAACTAGGGGTGCAAATTCGAGTGGTTACAAGCTGAGAGAGAAATTGCTGTGGGCGCAAGTTGTTGGGGGTGTAAGTGAATGGATAAATTGTTGTTTGGATGAAAAAGTGGAGTGCAAATTAGTGAAAAGTAAGTAAATTATATATATTATAAAATAGATATATCAAATGGGAGTTACTAATTAACGCCCTAGGTTTTTAAAATTTATCGCCCTAATATTTTAATTTGACATTTTTGTCCCATTTTTTATTCCCAGTCTCTAACAAACCTTCGCCCTAGAATTATTCTCCATAGTCGTCGTTCCCATGGGAGTCTTCACCGTTGCCGCCGCAACTTCCTTCCGCTACGTCACTCGACCTAGGGATTCCTCACGGCGGTAGAGAGTGCTACTCTGTCTGCCTCGTCGTCACCGCCATCGCCCTAATCCCATCCCCAAATTCCACCCGACCTGCGATCCACCTTCCTCCACCTTCTTCGACTGTGCAGAACCCAGCAGAACCGGCGGGGTAGTTGCTTCTTCCTCCTCCGAAAACCATCGATCGGCAAACGATTAATCCCGGCGGAGCAGAACCCAGCAGTAGCAGAGGTGGTCGGCGGGGTATGATTCCTTTGTCTCTTCTACGTCCTCGATCGACGCAGCGCCAGACCTGGCGACGGAGATGGGACGCAGCAGAGCAGTCGCGCGACGAGCAGATTGAGGGTGATGATTGGGGGCGTGGGTGAAGAATCCGCCAGTGTCTTCATGAGCTACCGGCGACGAACAAAGCAAAACATATCCTTCCGTCGGCGACGAACAAAGCAAAACTAGGGATTAGGGATCGGGGGCGGCTTTTTTTAAAAATCGAGGTAATATCGTCTAATTGGTTAATTTACGGCGAAATTTTTAAAAAATTAGGGCGTTAAATAGGAATCCAGTATTAAATTTGTAAAAGATTGTTATAAAATATTCACACATAAATAAATATGAAATAAAAAATAACAATATTAAAAAATATAATTTAATAAAATAATATTAAAATATTAATGCTCAAGTAGTAATTAATTATAAATATTCATAAATAAAATTGTTGGGTCCATAATAATAATAATAATTGGTTGAGCGACCTCGAATGACTATGCTTGAAGCTCAATCCATGGCCCAGACATATAACTAGCTCATGTCTCCCACCCGGGCACTGATTTATCAAAATGATGGTTAAATCGGAATGAAACGGATGGACATTATCAAATCGATTTTAACCATAAATGAACATCCTATCTCGATTCGACTTGACGAATCTTGACTCACTTGTTTGACCGAGTCAAACAGTTGAAGCCAATTTGACAAACTTTCTCATCGTATATCAAATGATGTCTCCCGGAATCAATGTAAAAATCATAATAACTATTAGGGTATGCCTACTATGACATGCATGTCACGGTGACATGCACTTTTCGGTCGACCTATTGCTGAAGGCGGTCGACCGAATCGACTAATTTGGGCAGCACGAGAAAGCATTGTGGTCGACCTCAACGACCACCTGGTCGACCGCACTTAGTTTAAGTTGATATTTTTGGTCGACCAGAATAAAACCTGGGTCGGCCATTTCGTTGGCGTCAGAAACAACATGGTCGACCACCTAAGGTATATAGGTCGACCACTTGATTGCAGTCATTAACAAAATGGTCGACCAAATGATGAAAGAGGTCGACCAGATAGAAGATAAGTGTTCTATCAAAGTGTCCAATTAATTGACGTAAAATCAAGATCAAGTGTTGGTTTCGCGGTCGACCTAATCCGTTACGAGGTCGACCGAATACAAGAAAGTCACCCTATGCCCCGTGTCTTTTTTGCTTATGTATGTCGATTTGTGTGGTTTTTTTAATCGTATAAATTATGTTTCAAACCATCATAATTAGTCATAATTATAACAAGGACTCATCAATTCATAGCATAACAACTAAAAATAAAACAGAAATCATAATTGTTCACACATAAAAATAAAACTAAAAAAACAACAGAATAACACTCAACAATCGTTTTGACCACTAAAACACACAATATAAAAACTCATTTCTCCTACTCATCTCCCCCCTCTCTCTCATCCACATTTTCTTCATTGGTGGTGCTAGCATGATGGTGGTCGGATGTGGTGGGATGCATGTATCTTCCGCTGAAAGATCGCCACTCATCTCGCATCTCATTCACGGTCACCTGCATTGTGCTCATCTGGGCGGTCATTTGCCCCATGTAGTCGTGCATGCCAGTCATCTGGGTGGACATCTGGCCCATGTACTCGTCCATGCCATCCATGCGCTCCCACACACGCTGTAAGGTGATCGGTGGAGTTGAACTCTGTGCCTCCCCCATTGGCTCGTCTCGAGCTCCTTCATTACCCTCATCATCATCATCATCACCACCATGAGCATTGTTTACTCTGACATACTCACCATTACGCAGCTCAAAGCCCATCTTTTTCAGAGATGAAACAGTATAGAACTCCTGCCTTGAGATTCTTAACCCCACCTCTTCACTTAAATTCACATTAAAATGCTCAAATAGCACAGTGAGGATCATCCCATAGGGAAGATTCCTGTTTGAACTCTCTGCAGCAGTAAGTAGGGATGGCAGGCCCGGGCCCGTTAGCGGATACCCGCCCGAGGCCCGCCCGTTAAGGGCCCAAACGGGCTGGTCGCACAGGCCCGTCAACGGGTGGCGGGGAAACCGGGATCCGTCAACCCTGGTTTTCGGGTGGGGTTGGTTTGGTCACTATCCGCCCCGTAACCCGCCCGGTGGGTTACCCGTGCACCAAAACTACGCTGTTTCGCCCTCCATATATATATTCGTGTTCTGTGTTGAGAAACCCTAGCAGCCGCCCCTCATTCCTCATTTTGCAAATCGCAGACCAAAAACACCAAACCCTAGTTTCCTTCTTTCTCTCTGCCTCTTCTCTGGCGAATCGCAAGATAATCGCGATTTTTTGCCTTTTCTCCTCTCCAAATCCTCGAATCTCTCCTAGTTTCACTACGATCTATCTTCGATTCCTCCATTCGACCAATTGCATGGCTGGAAGAGCAACGATCCGACGCCGATTTCGTCGAGCACAGGCCAAAAATGAGTCGTTTGGAGTTCAAATCCCTGATTGTTCGTCGATAATAGATAAGTCAATTCTAGTTTTTTTCTTTTCTTTCGATTATCTTCGTTGTATCCTCAATCTACTGACTCTTCTTGACACTCGTACTGCTATATATAGGGGGATTTCAAAGGTCACCAGTCACCATCCTGACCTTCGTCCTTCGCTAAATTTCTACCCAGAACTGAGAACACCCAGTCCACAGAGAGTAGAGACAGAGAGATTGCGACGAGCATCCAGAAAGAGTCCAAGTCTTTTTCTGGGTAAGGATCTTGAACTCGCTTCCTTTTTCTGGGTTTGTGCCTTTGTGGTGTACTGGTGTTAAAACAGACATGCATGCTTGTCTCCTGTTCTATTTTTTTTTTTTTGTTCGTTGTTCACTCTTTTTTGGCCAGGTTGGACTCATTTGAAGCTGTATTGAAGGACTGAACTCAGAGTCTCTGACGAGCAACTGAGCGAGTGAGAGTGATCATCAGTGAGCAGTCTACTGTCATTGGGTACTTGACAGTCCTCAGAAAAACAGAAAGACAAGGTAATCTCGTTCTCCTAAGTCGTAACCAGTAGCCAGTAACCATTGTGTTTGTTGTGTTGCTTTGACTTGTTAATGATAATAAACTGTAATGGTAACCACTATGGCTTGCTAATGATAATAACTTAGTTAGAAGAAGTAAACTGTAATGGTAACCACTATGACTTGTTAATGATAATAAACTGTAATGGTAACCACTATGGCTTGCTAATGGTAACCACTAATCCACTATGGCTTGTAAATTGTTGAAAATGGTGTCCTGTTTGCTGGTTAGAAGAAAAAATGTTGTCTGGTTGAAAATGGTGTCCATTTAAGTAAGGAAAAATGTAAAATGAAAGGTCTAATCAGTGATATATAACTTGATTATGTTCAGATGGAAGGTGCTACTGCTAATGCTATGAATGTTGATCAACATGTCCCTGAAAATGGTGTCCAAGTCCAACCTGAACAACCTCCTCCTGTTCCAAATAATCCGATTAATGGTAATGAGGAAGAACTTGAAGCACAACGTAAGTTAACCTCTAATGTGTGGCCTCACTTCCACAGAGTTAGGATTAATGGGGTAATGAAAGCTAGGTGTAAGTACTGTCGTAAACCCCTTGGTGGGGAAACAAGTAATGGAACTTCACACCTGAGAAACCATATCAAAACATGTATCCAGAAGAGGATACATGATGGTTCTCAAAAAATACTTGGCCCCAACTATCAACCTGGCGGAAATCCTCAACTCTCTGCTTCTCAATACAATTATGAGGTTTCTAGGAAGGAACTTTGTTCTATGGTTCTGGTCCATGAGTACCCCCTTAGCCTTGTTGATCATGTGGGTTTCAAACGTTTTTGCTGTTCTCTTCAACCTCAGTTTGCTGTCCCTAGTAGAAACACAGTGAAAAAGGATATTCTGGGTCTGTATGGGGTTGAGAGGTCTAAATATCAGACAATGATTGATGGAAATTTGGGCAGAATTTCAGTCACTACTGATTTGTGGACTGCCACAAATCAGAAAATGGGGTATATGGCAGTAACTGGTCATTTTATTGACAACTCTTGGAAGCTTCGTAACATAATGTTGAGGTTTATGTATGTTCCAACCCCTCACACTAGTCAAAGGCTAGCTGATAGGTTGTTTGATTCACTTCTTGATTGGAACATTGATGGTAAGTTGTCCTCAATCACACTGGACAACTGTACCACCAATGATTCAATGATATTCCATATGCGAAATAAGCTTGTGAGCAGTGATCTCTTGCTTGATGGTAAACTGATTCATATGAGGTGTTCAGCTCATATTTTGAACTTGATTGTGAGGGATGGTTTGGATGCAATCAAAGATGCTATACATTTGATTAGGGAGAGTGTAGTTTACTGGAATTCTACACCTAAGAGGGTTCAAACCTTCTTTGAAGTTGTTAAGCAACTAAAGTTGACATTTGAGAAAAAACTGGTACTTGATTGTCCAACTAGATGGAATTCCACATACCATATGCTCTCTGTTGCTCTTCAATATAAGGATGTTTTCTTTCGTTTGAGCTTGAGGGACAGTCAATACACATCTGTTCCTTCTAGTTCACATTGGGAATTTGCATCTGTTGTGATTGATAAGCTGGAAATATTTTCCGAGATAACTCAGTTATTCTCTGGTTCCAAGTATCCTACTGCCAATCTTTTCTTCCCAAAGATTTGTGACTTGAGATTGAAACTGAATGAGTGGGGTCTTGACCCCAACCCTGTGATTTTTGGAATGGCCAGTCAAATGTCTGAGAAGTTTGATAAGTACTGGGATGATATCCATCTTGTACTTGCTGTTTCAGTTGTTTTGGATCCTAGATATAAGCTCCATGTGATTGAATACTATGCTGGGAAGTTTGGGAGTATGGAAACTGACTTGGTTGGTGATAATATCAAGAAGATTATTTGTGGTTTGATTCTTGATTATCAAACCAAAGCCGAGAAGAATTCTGGTTCTGAAACTGGAACTTCTTCTGCTAGTTCTGGATCTGTCTCGGCTACTGAACTTGACTTTGAGCTCTTTGTAAGTCAAAGGAAAAAGAGCAAGAGTTCTTTGATTACTACTGAGTTGGATATGTATCTTGCCGAGGATATTATTCCTCGGACAGCAGACTTTGATCTGCTCTTATGGTGGAAACTTAATGGTCTCAAGTATCCCACCTTGCAAGCAATTGCAAGGGACTTTCTGACAATCCCAATTACATCTGTTGCTTCTGAAAGTGCATTTAGTTCTGGTGGGAGGTTGTTAGACCCTCACCGGAGCAGGCTTCATTATTCCACTGTTGAATCAATGATGTGCACACGAAGTTGGATTATGGAAGACATGCAACGAGGTAACATGCAACTAAATCTCTAAATTCTAGTACAACTAATTTTGTTTAAGTGTAACTAATATTTGTATACACTTTTCTGCAGATTCGGAGGCTGCTGCTGTGGAGGCATTGGAGGGAGTCTTCTCAGCACTGTCAGTCGAAGATACTACTGTAGAAGAGGCAGAACCTGGGGGTAAGAAAATTAGTGCATTTCTAATTTTGTTCATTGAGATTTGAGGTTGAACTAATGTGTTTTGCTTTCTGGTTTTTAGGTCCAGAAATGGTGTTCCTGAGATCACCATTTGGCCATGAAGACTGAACCATTCTCTACTGTCCAGCCAGGTTAATTACTTTAAAACTTCTTCTCTTTTGTTGCAAGAACATGGAGTTTGTTGGTGTTACACTGTTACTGGTTAGGCTTAGGGAGTTAAGTCTTTTTACTTGAATGTTAGTGCAGAATTTCAATTGATGAATGATGACTGCCGCTACCTGCTATTGCGTAAGATGGCTAATGGCTTGATGGGTTATGGAAGGCTGCTGTTGGTGAATTTCAATTGATGAATTTCAATCGAAGGAAGGCTGCTGTTGGTGCAGAATTTCAAGTTGAAGCTTCATCTTGCTCGAAGGAAGGCTGCTGTTGGAATTGATCTCAATAGTTAGGATGGCTTATGGCTTTGTTTAGCTAATTAGCTTAGTTGTTCTTGCTTTGAATAAGACTCGGCAATCAGACTGCTGAGAATGGATTCTCTTTTGTTGATTTCAGTTTGGATGATTTGATACTTTGCTTGAATTTTGATTGTTGATCTCAACTTTCAAGTTTCGAATGTTACTGATGTCAGGTTCAGAGTTCAGTTTTTGAGATCTTTTATAAGTTTATTATTGATAATAAAAGGAGATGTCAGATTTTCAGGTTTTTTTTAATGTACTTTGTCGTTTTGGTTGGCATTGTTACGGGCTTTTTAGACCCGTGGGCACCCGAAAACCCAGCGGTGATAGGGCTGGGTATATTACTAGGCCCGGAAGCCCATTTGGGTCGGGGACGGGTAAACCCGAAGCCCAATGTGGGCGGGGAACAGATACAGGGTACCCGGCCCCGATCCGCCCCGTTGCCATGCCTAGCAGTAAGCATGTGGTTAAAGATTAAGTATGGCAAGTTCACCTTCTCGCTTAACAGTAGGTTGGTGAGGAGCTCCATGTCGAAGTAGGTGACTGTCTCCCGATGTCCACCCTTTGGCAGAATGTTGTAGGAAAGCATGTGGTGAAGAACTCTGGCTTGAACTGTCAGGTGGTTACTCGATGGCCTATTGCGCCCCTGAGCATCTTCCTCTTCATCAAGACCACATACCGTCTGGATTTGCTTGGCTCTCGTGAAATGCGTTTCATTCCAAGCACCGTAAGAATTGATTCTCTTCCCCTCGTTTGGAGCCTGAAGTACTTGCGCCAACACATTCTTGCTGATGCGCATCGCCACCCCATTCACATAGGATTTGAATGCGTGAATGGATCCATTTGCATTGCGCTCGTAGACGATGTTGTTGTAGAAGTACTGTACCAGTTTTGGGTAGTATGGTACATTGAGAGATATCACCTTCAGCCACTCTTGCTCGATGAAGGGTCCCAGAAACCCGTAATTCTCGAAATGAGAATACGCATCCGTCGTCAATGGCCTTCCCGAAGCCACCCTGCGGTTGTGCATTCTCTTCTCTTCATAGTTCTCACTTTGCTCCTTGGTCTGGAACAGATTGGGATTGAACTCTTCCCATTCCGAACTTGAGGCAGCAGCTTTTTGTGCCTTTCTTTTCTTTTTGCCGCCATACATCCTGCGATCAAAC